GGACTCTTCTTTGGCTGGTGTGTGGTCTTTTCGAAGGCAACAGACTCCTTGAATGCCTCCGTCCGCTCCTGAGCGATCGCGCTTGTGGGATAGTCGTATTCCGCTGTCATGTGGCTGTAGATAGCTGACGCCTTATACTCTACCATAATAGAATCGGCATTCCGGGGAAACCTGTTTTCATACCCAGGTCTTATCCTTCGCTCAGTAGGCACGGTCACGCCTGTTAAAAAATCACCTGGGAAGCGTCAATATCGGTCAACCCTCAGTAGCAGCATGTGATTTGAGAATACTTACCAACATTGGCACCATCTGTATAGACGAACCCCAGGTTCTCCATGAATGGTTTTGCTGCAGCCGCTGGGCCATAGAATATCTGTTTTCCCTCATCCAGAACCAAAACCTTATCAAAGAGATTATATATCCCATTCCCCGCTTGATAAAGGGTCACAATTGTCGAGAGACCGAGGACGTTAGTCATCGCTCGCAAAGCCTTAGCCCACTCCAATGCAGTACTGGCATCGAGACCGCGGGTACTGTTGTCCCAGCAAAAGACAGAGCCCCTTGTTGCCAGGCATTCAATAATAGAGACTCGCTTTCGTTCTCCTCCCGACACACCCCGCACAAACTCGTTCCCTACCTTCGTGTCAGCGGTATGTGAAATCCCCATAGATTCCATCAAAAATTGCTTTGTCTCAGCAGTATATTCTTTCACGGATGCGGCACCGTCGGGAAGATGAGAAGGAACTTTGAGCCGAGTAGCAAAGTCCATTGTCTGACCTACGGTCAACCGTGGATAGAATAGCTCTTCTTCCGTATTCATCACGATATGGCTGCGATATTGAGCTGCTTCTTCATGGGACATATTTCCAAAGCTCACGTCACCCTTGATGGTGTGGTAGCCATGGCGGCGATTGGAGAGTAAATTGAGAAGAGTGGTACATCCTGAACCCGGGCGTCCCAAGACTAGGAGCATCTCCCCTGGCTTGACACAGCCGTGGCTTTCCGTCAATATAGATTTCAGGGGTGGCTTTCGGGTAAAGTCGCGGATTCGTTGTGGTAAGTTGAATTGGGAGAATAGGTTCTCATTGACCGCCGCTTCTGCTGCAAGGACATCCACGCCGAGATTCTTCCAGGTCACACCTAGCTCCCGCTTTTTGAATCCTGCCGCAGCCTCACGTTCCTGGCTCCGGATTACCTGCGGGGTCATGCTCCATTCTGCATCCTTCCCAGGAGCAGAGGCGTTGACTGCATGGGGAACGATCAAGGTTTCTGCGCTTGGAGCTTCTCGAACATTGATATGGGGGACATTCAGTGTGTCGAGGCTCTTCCGTTCTGGGATTGGTAAGTCGGAAGACTTCTCGTCTTCCGGAAACTCAGGAGGATTCATAGCAACTGAAATGAATAGCCAAATGAGATTAAGAAGACTCGATGTGTTTATCGTCTGGAACTAGCGAGACTGAAAGTCCAGACCCTATGCATTCTTATATACATTTATGGAACCCCAGGGGTCTCTAACACGATAAGAACTGCTGGTATTGCGCGTCAGCTCAATTACCTTGGGTGAGCCGAGTACCCGCGAGTGGAGTACTTACAGATGAGAAACATTATGTGCACCATGCATATGTGCACCATGCATCTGCCATCTACTACCCATGAGGTTCCGCATCTGGTCCAATAGCCTGGGCGGATGATCGGCTTCCATCGCCTTCCCAAAACGGTAATATAATGCAATGGCCTCGGTTGTTTGCTCCATAGTTGTTTCACAGTAGGTGAGATGTTCGCGCCGGATCCACAATAGCTCGGTGGATCGGCTTTCTAGAATACCTCGGGAGAATCATACTCGTTCTGAATCTCGTGTTAGAATCCGTAGAGATAAAGTGTGTTCCAGTGGCAATGATTGCCTGCAGCAAACTGCCAGTGGCGAGGGCGAAACGTGTTGCGCCAGAAAGTTGCGCCAGACAGTTGCGCTGGGGCCTACTAATCGAATACCTCGATGATATGTCTAATCAATATCTCAGCAGACTTGTAGGATCTGAATCTCTTCAGAAATCGCGTTGAAGGGGCGGCATGCCGACTTGATCTGGCGGCATAGATAACCGGCTGTCACCCTTTTCGAGCGTTGCCGACCTATCCGGGTATCCAGACAATTCACATTGCTGAGGATGTCCAGACCATCCATAGTCTTGGCTAACCCACAAGAGCCCTGTTTAACGAAGCAATGTCACACTCTGTCTGCATAAACGATCTTGTGCCACTTATATCCCGCATCAGTATCTGGTCGCCAACAACGTAAATCATTGCGCCTATCATTGAACTGGTATGGATTCGGGCTTTAGGTGGCGCTGCTCACCTACTAGTTGAAGAGGACGAATAGCTTGGATTCAGGAGCGGAAAAGACCGGAATCAAAATCCGCGATGACTGCAGGACGGTAAAGGGGACGGAAAAAGCGATTCAAGCGAGGAAAAATATTGCTGGCTAAGTTGACGTGAAGTGAGAAGAGCAGAAGTTCGGCTTGCTCGCCTTGGCGGGTTGGAGCCTCAGGTTTTCCATTCGCATTCCTTCGTTCTTCGTTCCCACCACAATACTTTACTGCCCTCAATTCGAGGATTATCACCAAAATGCCTCTCTCATAGTTCGTTCGTCTTCAGGTAAGCGACCCTAGTGTATACATGAGTTAGACAACTGATGCGCTCTTGACTCTTAACATAGGAGAATATCCGGCAGATACAAGTGATAATGTATGCAGCAGCAAAGTTCAAGCGAGCTTGTGGGAGCGCTTCCAATGGGATACTCCAAAGCATTCATTTATAATGTCGGCACCAGACTGCATAAGGTGACCTAAGCGGTAATAGAGATCCTGGCATCCGCATACGCTATGCGGCAGAAAAGGGAGACATATGATATGATTCCAGCAGGAAGAAGTACCTTCGTGCCGGGCTGTTGCTTCTGAGTTATTTCTCAGAAATCAAATAGGCAAAACAAACAGAATCGGCGTTCTGTACCACCGGTTCGGCAGGGGACGTCGAGCGTGAGAAAACCGTATGGACACTCGACGTTCTCCTCCTTATATGATATAGACATTGACAGGTGCAAAGATGAAAATTGAACGTAACGAAGACGTCAAGTATTATTTAATTATCAGATATCACCTTAGTTTGATTTGACAAGCTTGCCATATCGCCATACATGCGTGACATTCTTTGGATCAGAGACCACAATTATGTTTTCCAGTGGGTTTGCCGTCAGTGCGATGATGTCTGCGTCAAATCCCTCCCTCAATTGGCCACTCTTTGGTGCCTGATCTCCGAGCGTTAACGGCCCGTTGGCCGTGGCAGCTTCAATTGCAGCTAGAGGTGTCATACCTGCTGCAACCGCGTATACCAGCTCCTTGCCATTGCGTCCATATCCCAATGCGGGATTATCCGAGCTGATGAATTGGTCTGTACCCAAAGCGATAGGCACGCCACGTCTGACTGCTAGCTCATACGCCCTCTTATGCGTATCGGCTACTTCGAGCAACTTCTGGTATGAACCGGGCGTAAAGAGATCACGCATTGCCAGTCCACTCTCGATAACGCTGCGTGTTGCCACTAACATCGCGCCCTTCTCGAGCATCAAGTCGATAGCCTCCTCATCCAGATAGCTGCCGTGCTCAATTGTGCGACAACCTGCACGGAGAGCATTCATGATGCCTGCCTTGCCGTGACAATGAGCGGCCACAACGCGCCTTGCTCGCGCTGCCTCGTCAACAATAGCTTTCAGCTCTTCGAACGAGAATTCTTGATGTTGCGGGTCGTCGATAGCGCTCACTACACCACCACTGGCGCAGACCTTGATGATGCGTGCTCCGTGCCGCAGTTGCTTTCGTACGGCTTGCAGACACTCGGGCACACCATCTGCGATAGTCAAAGGCAGGCCATGCGTACATAGGTCGCGCAAACCCTCGGGATTCACACCGTGTACGTCGCCGTGGCCTGCCGTCATGCTGATGGCGCTGTGCGCACCGTAGATGGTCGGTCCTGGAATGCGGCCCTCGTCAATAACTTTGGCCAGCTCACAACCATATCCTCCAACTTCGCGAACTGATGTGAATCCCGCAATGATGGTTGCATATAAGTAAGGGACACTTCGTGCCCCTGCTAATGCTTGCGGGGTATTTACAATCGAATCCATGGTCGCCGCTGTTGCGCCTAAGAAGTGAATGTGGCAATCCCACATGCCTGGCATGGCAACAGGAACATGTGTGGTAACAGCATCCTGATACTCGACTGGTACTTCATGCTGCGGTCCAGAATAGAGGATTGTTTTCGATTTCCAAACCACAGCTCCACGGGCAATTGGTGCTCCCCTTCCAGGGATTAGGATATCCGCGTTGATGCGGTAGAAAGTGCTGTCTGTCAGGGGCCGATGCATAATTAAAGGGGTATGAGTGCAACACAGTTTGGATCACAGTTCAGACACTGACAAGGATGTGATCCTGGCCTGGCTAGGGAAGCAGCATATATTAACCGTATGCAGAAAGCCGAGGCTATGTTCCAATTTGACATTGTGTGCCCACTCGGAGCCGGCTTATTTGTCGACAGTGACAAGACAAGACGCGACGCCAGACACTGATGTGGTCACCAGTAGTCTGGCGAAACCTATCCGGGGTTACAACTCACCAGATAAGTAGGTCGAAGCGAGGATGTGCCGGGCCTATTTTGGTTTAGTTGAGCATACAAGGTCATGACGGTAATACACCGGCGTAAGCCTAAGCATGCCGCTAGTCGGGAAGGCAACACTTCGGCGCATGAGGATGGGCCCAATCCTCGGCAGCGGCGCCACGCCAGCAGCCCTAACGGCGCAGCGCCAGATCGTGCCGTCAATTAATCTTGGGTCGAGACCGTGCTGCATATGATACTATATTGTTCTGAAAGGAGGTTAAAGAGCTCCCCGGTTCTTCCTTTGCTACCTGCACTGTCCTGGCAAGTAGTCTGTCATTCCAGCACATCCATCCAACATGTCTGCCTCGGATAGTACCAACTCGCCGCCGATGGAGGACGAGAAGAGGTTTCATAAGGGTCCCAATGAGTCTATTCAACCCCTCTCAGAGAGAGAGGAGAAAGCCATCATCCGCCGCATCGATCTTTGTCTTCTTCCGCTGATGTTCTTTTCGTACTTGCTGCAATATCTCGATAAGACGACCTTGTCGTATGCATCGATCTTAGGTCTTCTGAGTGGCACGGTATGCTGCAACCCCTTGTGCTTCTCAGACTCGTCTAACGTCAGATCAGCACATGACCACAGCCCTCTATTCATGGACCTCGAGTGCCTTTTACTTTGGTTACCTAGTCGCATCCTACCCCGTCTCTCTGGGGTTTGTCAAGTTCCCGCTCGGCAAATACCTCTCTACTATGATGTACGCTAGTACCACATCCAACTCATATGACAATATACTAAGAGGCTAGGATTCTATGGGCTATCATCTTAACCTGCCACGCAGCAGCCTCCAACTTCGCAGGGATGACCGCGCTCCGTGTACTTTTGGGAGTTTTCGAAAGCGCCATAAGCCCCGGGTTCACTCTAGTCGTGAGTATGTGGTATACGCCATCAGAGCACGCTCTGCGCAGCTGCATCTGGTTCGCGGGCAACGGTGTTGCCGCAATCTTCGGAGGCGTTCTCGCCTACGCCATCGGCCACATTGAAGATAGGTTGGGGCCGTGGCAATGGCTCTTCATAATATTCGGACTGATCACGTTGGGATGGTCGGTCTTCCTGTTCTTCGCCCTGCCCGACTCCCCACATAACGCCAAGTTCCTCCAACCGAATCAACGCGAGTCCGCCTACCTTCGCGCGCAGGCATGCCAGAAGAGCTACCAGAGCCGCGAATGGAAGAAAGACCAATTCATCGAAGCATGGCTTGATCCAAAAACATGGTTTTTGTTCGTCTACAATTTCATGGTCTCTCTGCCAAACGGGGGTATAACCAACGTAAGTTCTTCCAAACCCCTCTGAGCCACATGAACAGAATGAACTTGCACTAAACATATGAGCAGTTCTCGAGCCTGGTTATCGAGTCTTTCGGCTTCGATACCTTCAACACTCTCCTGTACAGCATCCCCATGGCTGCTGTGGCTCTCGTCTTTCTGCTTATTAGTGCATTCACATGCAATCGCTTCCGTGGTCTCCGCTGCTACTGGATGATCGCCACTCTTCTGGTCAGCCTCGTCGGCATTCTCCTCATGCGACAGCTCCCTACCGAGAAGAAATGGGGTCGCTTGGTTGGGGTGTGGCTCGTCAGTGTCTTTGGTGCCGGATGGCCCCTCAGTCTTAGTCTGGTCTCGAGTAACTTTGCTGGGTTTACCAAGAAAAGTACCGTGACAGCTATACTGTTTATTGGGTACTGCGTGGGCAATATTGCCGGGCCGCAATTGTTCAAGACCAACGAAGCCCCTAAATATTTGGTAAGAGAGCTCTCTCTCATTTCAGTTGGTCTCCGTTTGTCTGCTGTGATTGAAGCACTGACGGTATGTGTAGACTGCGTTTGCCGCTATTCTGGCGTGTTTTTGCATTGCCGTCGCGGATGTCATTGCTCTGCGAGTGTATATGGCGTGGGAGAATAAGCGAAGGAACCGCAAGCAAGGCCGGACTATTGAGCCCGAGTCACCAGAGATGGAGGATGCTGTCCAATCACATTCGGACCACAGCGAGTCGGGCGATATCACGGACTGGCAGAACGAAAGTTATCGATACTGTTTGTAGGACAAGATAGAAGAAATGTGCGGAAGGGTGAAGTGCGCAACAGGTTGAACAAAAGTGAAAAGTTGACACTACTTAATTATAGAAACGATGTCTTGGGGTATACAGCTGAAAGTCGTGTGTTCATGTGTGCGTGAATCAGGTGAAGAGGCGTCTTCAAGCGAAGCTCGTCTGCCACCCCAGAAATTCCATCACCAACTCCCACTCAAATCGACCGGTCCGTGTCCTCTCCCCTGCCACATACAGCTCACGTCGCTGCCACAGTAATTCCACAACTGTCTGTGCTCGTACAGTGTTCTCATATGGGGCTTTCGCTTGAGCTGCCTGGAATTGTGCCAAAGCCCGTGCTTTGTCGGATTCAGACGTACTGCAGCACGAGGCAATGAAGAGGGGCCATAACGGCCAGGAGATTGGGAGGTGATCCAGCGATGAGACTATCGATTCTACCAGAGACAGGATATAATCGACATGGCGCTGCTTTCGTGTTGTATCCAAGCCCAGGCTTGGTTCACTGATGTAACCGAGGAAAGCTGGCGTGGACGCTTCCGAAAGAAGCAGACACGCGGCAAGACGATATGATTCGCCAGTGTACTCAAGGAGACGACGCCTATGGACAACCTCGGCGGAATCCTGACATCGACGCAGTGATTTCGGGAGTAGGTGTGTCGTGTCTTGAAGATTCCTTTGTAAAGTGATAATCTTGGCTTCAATGACGCGTTGTTTCTCTTCAGCTTCGGTCCCTTCTTCATATAAGGCCCGCACATCATCCTTGAGACTTAATATATCATTGATAAGCAAGAGCATGCGGTTACTCATGCCAGTCCAAACGTCAATTTCGTGAAGCGTATCTGGGTCCATGGCCTTGGACAGAGAATCTGAAGAGGTCCAGCTGGCCCCTTCTTCTACGGGTAACGAGAGATCGTTCCGCAGTTCTACAACAGGTAGTGCCTTGTCTATGGGGAAGAGGGACTTTGCCAGCACTAAATGTGCAAGAAAGTAACTCAAGAACAGTTGCGGCACGTCTGTTGTTGTGTGGCGACGAATCTTCTGCTTGATGACCATCTGGAAACATGTCAGATGGCGAACCCAGGAGGCGTCACAGCTGTGAGATATCTGCTGCGAGTCAATACTGACACCCATGAGAACATCAAGAGCGAGGACATCACATACAGCCGAAGAGCAGAGAAATATAGTCGGCAGCAGCACGTCTTCGAATTCAAAGCAACTTTCCGCCAACGCTTGACGCAAGCCTTTGAGCACCCTTTGCCGGACCTGCATCTCAAAGAGTTCGAAGCGACTATCGATGGATCTTAGATACTGCGCACTGGTCATGAGCACAGAATAATATGCCAATTCAGACCGAAATACCATGCGCATCACTGTATTGCGGAGGGGATTAGTTTCCTCGTTGTCGATGGTAACGGCAGCGGGGCACATTATCGACTCGTAAAACGACAAGCACACATCGTCAACATCGGGCACCCCGAGGGTCCAAGGCAAGGTCCGAAAAGTGGTATTTGATGACTTAATCTTGCTCTCTTTCCAGTGCTGATATTGACTGTGATATGTGTCACGAGTTAGAAAGGAAACGCTTTCTGACGTCGCGGCCCGCAGTGGACTGTGCGACGAGGGTGGAGTGAGGATCAATGCGGATTCCCCGTCGCTACCAGGTTGATCTTTGCGTTCGATCCGCTTCGAAGGCAGAAGATCTTCGTCCTCTTCAGATTCTTTGCATCGAAGCGAATCCCTTCTGGTCACAATCCCAGTTCGTCCATGGCATTTCCCCGCGGCCCGCATATCATCCTCCCATTGAAGGCGGACCCCGTAGTTGCATCGATTCTTCGACCGTTGGCAGCGCACACATACTGGATGAGCTTCTGGACGCATCGGAGAATAAGCTTCCTTGTCGCTTAGGAATTGCCGTGTACAACACCGGAGCAGGTCATGAGGAGCACGAGGCTCCCATCAACCTAGAGATGGGACAGGCAATGGACAACACGCACCGTCGCATTTGACCCGTCTCCGACGACACGTAAGACAACCGCTGCGGGACCGGATTCTGGGTTGGGACGTCTTCGGAGGCGACGAATCTGAGTCGGATGAAGTTGGAGGGCCAGGGTTCAACGACCACGAAATGAACATGTCGACAGTCAATCATGTCTTTACTAGGACACTCAACACCAGATCTAGTTATTTCCCTTGTGAGAAGGATAAGATGGGGAAAAGACCTTTGGAGGACTCCGAGTGGGCTGAACGAACTTACCGGAGGGGGAAAGGCCATGGTGGAGGTCCGGAAACACGGCCATCTCCCACCTCGGAGTGGCCACGGGCGAGCTGAAAACCCAACATCGCCGTTAATATCGAGGGCTGGATGGGATTGGCGACTGGGCGAAGGCCCATCCGCCATGGGAACGCTAATCGCGTCCGAGGCGGACACTAATGAGGTCTCCCCGTACCCTAAAGACGGTAGGGACGGTCCGTCAGCCAACAGTCGCTGGAGTTCCCCCCTCATCATTTAGTGGGATAGCAAGCTGAAACTAACGGTGTTAAATGCGTATCCAATCACCTCGAACCATAATCATCGAGTCTTACCACCGGCGGTAATCCGATTACTGACGCCTTTCGATTCAAATAGCGCGTTCCTGGACTTTTCATCGGAGGATCGGACTCCACTCAGAGACTAGGAATGCCATCATGGGCCGAGTTCTAGATGGTTCAGTTATCCATCAAAACTCAATTCACCTTATGAGATGGTTCGATGCGGCCATTCGGCTCAGCTGCCTCGACTATCAGTATCTATTGCAATGTCCTCAGGTCTCCACCCTTTGTTCGAATATTCTCCTCCCGCCTCAGGAAAATGAAATTACGCGACCAATCCTGCTGCCTTCGATCTAGATCCAGACCATGGAGCTTGCCATTAGTTTATTGGTAGTGATTTCAATTCCATACGGTGCCGACGACCCCTGTAGCCCATCGAAGGGACTTTGCAGATCTGAATAATGAGATTTAGGGTCCTATAAACTGCTCGGGGCCTGCGGGAATCTCAGAGGCACCAGAATTCCTAGGCATATGGTGTGTTTCAGAGCATGTAGGCCACCATGACGAGCTCGCTAGAGACTGCCTCGAGGGTGCCTGTGGTGATAGCTGGATACACCGTTCCTATCGTCTGCATGACACTATGCACGGGTCTACGGCTTTTTGTGAAAGTCCGTGGTCCAACAGAGGACCGCTTTCATGCAGATGACTACCTAATCACTCTAGCTACGGTGCTTTTGCCTCCCTATCGCCTGGTTCCTGTGCATACTGACGATCTTTGTTGTCTTCGGTTAGATGCTGGAGGTAACATACAGTATTATCATGCTGGTCGTCGGTATGGGTTGCATGCCCTCGTGCGTCTCTAGCCAGCATTTAGCTAACATACTTAGGCATGCGTCATGGCTTTGGTAAACATGCTTCAACCCTTTCGACTAAAGACTTCGAGGCATTTTTGAAGGTACAATGCGCTACTGATTACCTCCCGACCTAACTGACACATAACAGGGTGACTATATTGCTAGCCACCTCTATAATGTCGGTCTCGCAAGTGTCAAACTCGGGATCCTCGCCTTATACTACCGCATATTCGCAATACAATGGTTTCGCAGGACAGTAATTGGCTGTGTCACATTTGTCTGTCTGTGGATTGCGACGATTGAGATCTTTATGGGCCTGCTCTGTCGACCACTGGAGGCTTTCTGGGATGCCAGTGTTAAAGGCCATTGCTTCAACTCCAGCGCCCTGTCATACTATGTCAACACCTCCAACATGATCACCGACCTTGTCATATTTGCTCTCCCGATAGGGGTGATTGTGCGGCTCCGTACGACCCGAAGCAATAAAATTGCCCTCTGTATCATCTTCTCAATTGGATTCATGTAGGTACTTTCCACATTTCGCCCTCCCTTACTAGCCAAGCACTAACACTTACATGATCACCAGAACATGCGGCATAAGCGCTGCCCGTCTAGCCTTTGTCTTTGCGGAAAGCTCGTCCGACATCACCTGTGCGTCCATTCTCTCTCTTCCAACCCACCAAGTAATACCACGCTTGACCACACTAACATAAAACAAACGTAGGGGACGGCGTCGACCTCGGTGTTCTATCCGGCTTCGAATCGCTCGGGGGCATTCTCTGCGCCAACTTACCCATCATCTACCGCCTTTTCAGGCAAGCGGCGCAAAAGGTCACAAGCCGAACAGGAGGCAGCTCCTCCATTCCCCACCTGCAATACGGCCGCGAGTCCAAGAACTTCACCTCGCGGTCTCGCCCTCGCCGACACCGTCTTAGCGAAACGCTCAATGAACAGTGGATTCAATTGCAGAACGGCAATTCGTCGAATGATAGCCATGTCTCTAGGGGACAGGATTTCGCCGTGCAGAAGGTGGTGGACATGGAGACGGGGATGGAGGTTGTGCGGTTGAGTAATGTGCCAAATGCTATCACAGTAAAGAGAGAGTTTCATCAGACGGTGGAGGGTCGTCGGTGATAGTTGTCTTTGTCGCTGGATGGTGGGTAGTCATTCATTGGATTATTTCTTATGTTGAGCTAGATAAAAATAGATAGGCTAGAGTCATTCTGTGCTTAGAAGAGAAGCATGGTTGGGAATGGAAACGGAATAATCCATGATCTATGCAGTAGCTCCCTTTTCCTCTCACACTGACAGACCTTGCAAACGGTAGAAAGGTCTTCGTGCGGAACTCAGAAAGCCTTCGAGTTGGTTTTGTACTACCGGGGGACCAATGAATAAATACTCATGTAAGATAGTGGGTAGATGGTTCTTGTAAATCGGCACCGCCTTTTTGGATACTATCTTTCGAAAGCTCCGTCAATGCTAGAAAGGCTCAAGCTATATAGATACTATATATTTGTGAGAAGAATTCATTATTTCTAAACTGGGATTGAGGGATAACCCCATGATATTCAAATACTACTAATAGTCAGACACTCAACAGCTCTAGATACAACAGTAGTAGTAGTAGTAGACATCCACAGAGGTATATCTTATCAACAACCACTCTCTACCTCCTCAACTCTAGCACTTCATTTATAAGAAAGAAAACGACATAAACTAATTCACGAGCACTATTTAGATACGGTGCTATAGATGACTTATTCCTTCGTACGTTCATTTTCTCCCAAATAATGCTATTGCTAGGCTTAGGTGCTTGAAGAATAACACCAGTAGCAGCGGTCAGGTTGGTATTCGTTTGTTGGAGATTTGTTCATGGTTGTAGTACCAGCTCAAATGATCAGTAGTAAGGCCAAATGAGAATTAGCAGTACTAGTAGTAACTCTATATCGAGACGATAGTTGGTATATAGATAGCACTGAACTCAGATATGAATCACATGCCGTCAAGCACTCGGTCACGTGTTTCGGGTTCTGGCTTATTAACTAGTTAGTAACTATATCTGGGTCGTCATGTCTGCTTTTCTGGTTATAGTTGTTGAGGAGTAGCTGCTATGATTGTAGAGGTTAATGTATAAATAGATATAGTACGAGAAGTATAGCAACATCCTCCATGGGTCTTTCACTCAGAATTAGTGAAACTAGTGAACAGGTGCTTCCTTCTCAGAAAGATGTCTTTGGATAATTCACAGGACATGCTTGTTTCAACAATAATCAATGTGTATGTTTTCGGAGAATAAGTCACGTGAACGAAGAATATCAAGTACAGGGAACCTGACACGTACCTAGGCCAACCAGTCCAGTCCAAACCAACTTATCTAGATTATATACATGCATGAGAGAAGGCATTCACAAAATGTAGTAGACCTATAGACACATTGCGCCTTTCCGAAATCGCCCAAATCAAAAAACATAGCAAGGACAAAGGGGGAATCGCCCAGCCATATGAACCGAATCACTATAGACAGACAAATCACAAGACTTTGTAGGTTGGTGGTATATTTCAACCGCCAATGACCATCCAAGCGATCATACCTCCCCACATGCCCACAAAGGCAATGGTCAGGATGGAGGCACCCGCCTTGTCGCCCGTGGTGATCTTCGATTCGGTACTGCCGCTGCTCCCGGTGTTGTCGCCCGTACCTGCGTTCGGATCACTACTACTATTGCCTCCGGTGCTGGAGGTCACAGGGGCGGTTTTCTTCGTGTTGACCAACGCGGAGGATAGAACGTTGGTGACGGCGATTTCCTCCTCCATTCCGTTCCATCCATCCCACTTCTTGGGCCACCAGCGCACACCACAAGTGTTGTTGCTCATTCCGCTGCAGGAGGCTGCGGCAGCTTCGGCAGACCCCTGCAGCTTTGGCAAAATGCTATCATACGTCGACGGCATCACTAGGGCCACAAGTCCAAGCCATCCGGTGACGAGACCCTTGAACAGAATTTCGTTGTCATTGCACACTTCGGTCGGCTCACAGAGAATTTCGGACATGATGTTTCCACCATACTTCGCCGGGAAAAAGGTGTCGAGCGTGACGTTCAAGAGGCCCTCCGCCGCAGTCTTCCACTTGGCCTTGCCGGTCTGTGAATGGCGTCAAATCAGCACATGTTTCCTTCGTACCTCAAGGGGGTCGGAATCACTCACATAGTTGTACATGTACGCGGCTCCCGTCAAGAACACGCCGTAGTTGTAAGACCACTGGTTGTTGCCTTGGGTGGAGCAGCTGTTATCGACATCGGTGGAGTCGGCCACGTTCCAAGTCTCGTTGTTTAGCAACGGAGTCGAGGCACACCAATCGAAGATCTTCTCTGCCCAGTCGGCGTATGTGTCGTTTGAGGTGTAGCGGGCCAGGCGGGCGGCGAGTTGGAACAAACCTCCGTTCGAGATGGAGTTCTTCATGGCGTAACCGGCCTCGTAAGGGTAGATCTGCCAGCGCAAACCGCCGCCACATGTCGAATCATCCCATCGGTCGATCTGAGTGTTGTAAACACCCTGGGCCAAAGCGAGCCAGGAATATCCGGAGGAGCTGTCGGCGAATTCGATCTCGGCAGCGGTGATGGCGGCAAGACCCCAGAACATTTGATCGTCGTTACCCTAGTGAACAGCGACGAGAGTCAGACTATTGTCCAAGTTCAGGGGGGATGGGTGTGGTCAGGTCACTTACCAGGTAACTACTGTAATTGGCGGGCATGTAATCGCAGTCACCCGCCTGCCATTGCATACCCTGACGGACCTCGTCGTTGTAGGTACTGTCTCCAGTGTAATACCAGTAGAGGAGCAAACTTGTGAAAAGCGCGCTACCCTCCCACCACTTGCTAGGGAAAGCACCGGGAATCTGACCGGTTTCGTTTCCATGATACCAGGTCATGGACCCGTAGGCCGTCTTACTGGCGGCATCTTTAATTGAACCTATACGGACAATAAAAATGTGTATCAGTTGTCAATTCATGGTATTTATGTATGTCGTTGGAATGGAAGGCATGGAGTCTTAGATATAGTGGCGCAACTGCGTCCAAGTATGTAGGAGAGGAGAAGGATGACGGAATAAAGCAAGGGCCGAGACAGTGGTGTATATAATGGGAAAGAGATTGAAGAAGTGGGGGGAAGGCATACTGGTACTGCTGATATCGATATCGATGGCGTGGGAGAGCTGGGAGAAGAGCGCCGTGTTAAGGAATAACCCCCCATACAGGCAATCTCGAACGAGACGCATGGCGGGAGGGAGCGGGAGGAGGGGGGCAACGAGAGAAAAGGGGGGAGGAAATTGAAGGAAACGAGTGTTGGAAGCGAGGGACACGGTCAAGGAAGAGACTGACCAGCAGGAACGGAGAGTAAACGAGAGTGAAGGGGGGAATACGGATGGAGACAGTGGCAGTCAAGTCAAGAATGAGATGATGGCATTGCAGCAGAAACCAAGAGAGGTGGATGGGGGTTTGCTTCAAATCAAGCTGCGTAGACGCCGGGCCAGGCCTATTTTTAATCGACGGGAAAAAGAAGGGAAGAAAGGCCCAAAAAGCCAACCATCGCCACCGGTGGAGTTGGTCCCCGTCCACGTCAGCTCCTCGTGCAATCAGCTTTCTCGCCCTCGCATTTCTTCTCGACCCCAAGGATCATGGTGTGACAGGGTCAGAAGGGGTTCAGACTTCAGAAAGGAGCTAAAAATGAGGGTGATGAAATTTCCACTACCAGAGTTTGTTTTAAGTCCCTGGAGAAAAGATGAGGTGTTTAGTATCAAAGTGAGCCTGAGGCCATAATACGAATACGGCATCCCGATCTTCCCTTTCTTTTTGGTGTTCTGTTGTTTTTTTTTTTTTTTCCCCTTCTTGCCCCTGGAAAATTTAAGCCAAACAATTAATCCGAACAAAGGCTGAGTTCTGGCCGGGCGGGAACCATGGATCATCCCTTTTGCCTTGCCTTTTCCCCATGAATGGCATGGCTGCCACAGCCAAGTCAGTCTCGCACCTTCGCGCCCCGGTCGCAAGCATGGGCGTTGTTCTGCCATCCTAAGCTTTTCTGCCCAGCACTGCTAATCCTCACCAAGCAATGCCTGGCATTCCGCAGTCTGAACTGTCATTGCAGCCTGTGATCTTGGCGGAACCCCATCAGCCGATCGGAGGGCAGTCAGCCCCCTTGCGGGTACATCACGAGCACCACTCGGAATGTCATTGGGAGTTTGCCTCTGTTCGGACGCGCCATCCATCAGCGTCTTTGATCAGGATCGTCATCTGCTTTGGGGTCGAAGCTTGCGACCGCTGTAAAGGACAATAATGTCTGTTCACTATTCAAAGTGTTCTCCCGTCGCTCCATCGTCCAACAGCCAACAGATCTACCTATCAACTGGGGGCCTGGTTGGCCATTCTACTAAGTACAGTCTGACCTTTTCTGTTATCCCCTTCTGCAGGATAGCAATAAGCCGCTCTAGAATTGTACGCCGGACGGAGTACCTGCGTGTGTCAGTCAGCCTTAACTCCGATCCCGGTCAGTCATGTGACGAGACTGTTTGTCTGGTTTGTTAATCTCCTCTTGCTATGAAACAAGGGTCCTTCATTGTTTTGTGAAGATGTCTAGCCAAGCAGCATACTGCAGTCATTTTAATACGCTCCAATTGATAACAACAGTAGTACTAGATAGTATCCGAGTCACAAGTCCACAAGGTGGATAGGCCGTCGGAAATAAGTATAAGACATTGTCTTACTTCCCTTAGCAATAAGCCGGCCCTCCCCGTCTCCGCCCTCTTCTCCACCATGTTGAACAACACAAAGTCATATTCTCGTCAGCGGAACATACCTGCAGCACTTCGGTCACTTATCTGATTAGCAAGCTGATACTTCATGGTTTCCATCAATATATGCTGTAGGGAAGACTAATTATATTGCGCATTAGGTCATATTAGTTGGATTTTTAATCCTGGTAATTCAATTCCTATATCGATATGAGATGGGCAGTACTGTCTCACGTAACCAGACTCCGTAACGAAAATATATACTACTAAGTATCATGATTTGTGACAACATCCAAACCATGGTACCAGTAAGTAGCATCTCCTACCGCACGTAGTACTAGTAGCTGGTCCCGTGGAGAGGCGGAATCCGGAGATTAAGCTGCTTGAGCATCAGCTTACTGGGGAGTGGATTACTTGTGATATGAAGAAATTCCATAAAGAACTTGAAGTGAAAGAGGGGTGGTGGAGATGGTATTAAGGATGTTTAAATATTGCTTGGTCAACGCTGTTGAGTAGTGAGATGCTTGCCGACTCTCGATTGAGGAAATAGCTACTGGGGAGGTGTCTCGTTTAGTCTTCTCTATCTGCCTCCGCCCCGGCCAAACTGTATTCGGCAAGTATTTACAGCGTTGCTTCAACCTCATCCACAATGGTCACCTTGATGCTCCCGTTTCTGGGATCCGCACACAGATTCAAGGCATCCACTGCCTTTTCTAGTGGGAAAACATGCGACACCAACTTCTTCAGGTCCAGTATGCCCCCAGTGAGACACGCAATCGCAGGCGGCCATGTATCACGGTACCGGTTGATAAACCGCAAATCGATCTGTCTTGGTTAGTCGTCTCTTCTTCATGCTTAACAGGACAAGTGCGTGCCTACTTCTGCCAGAGAAATATGCATGAATGGCAAATTATTCATCACTGCTTTTCCAACGCCGATAACCACCACCGCACCACCTCGACGAGCGGTGAATGCTGCGGTACACACACTGTTCTCAACACCAGTACACTCTAATACAGTTTCTGGGGCGTTGTACTCGTCCGGACCAAAAAGTGCTCGGATTGCCTTAGCGTTGCCTTCCGCATCTAGTGCCGGATTAACCTGGTATGTATTGCACCAAGGCGCAAATTCCTTGGCAAAGGCGAGTCGTTTTGGCTCAATATCTGTGATGACAATGGGGTGGGCCCCTGATGCCCGAGCAGCTGCGAGGGCGATCAGTCCAATAGGCCCGGCGCCGCAGACAACAACAGCGCGACCTAAATGAAGGCGGGCGACCTGAATACCGCGCATGACGACCGAAAGTGGCTCGAGGAGAGCTCCTTCAAGATAGGAGATATTGTCCGGAAGCCTGTAGAGCACGTTCAGCATGACTTGATCCCATAAGTCTAAGCAATGGGCACACGCACTTGTGTAACCATTTGGCCGGGTGCACCTTGTAACGTTGGATGGTACCCGCATAAGGATATACTCCCGCAAACTGGACGTCCTCGCAAAGGTTGTAGCGACCGTCGTCACAGAGGAAGCAATGTTCGCACGGAACCCCAGGCTCGACGGCGACTCTGTCACCTGTGCCTCCCCATAAGCTATCCATTGCAGACATGGCACACAGCGTTACTAACCAGGCTGCAGATGGGTCACTCCATCGCCACACTTCAGCACCACCCCCGCTGCTTCATGGCCAATTATGCAATCCCCTTCGAAGACCAGCTCCCCAATGCGACCAGTTTTCCAGAAATGGATATCGGACCTGGTCGGGTTAGCGAGTAGTGTACTCAGATAATCTAGCCTATGTTCATGCATACCCACAGACGCCAGTGGCTTTGATTTGCAGCAGGACCTCACCTCGCTGTGGCGCATACACCGGGGCGGGGACAAATTTGAGATTGTGATCCGCTGTAATCTGGAGAGAGGGATTGGGGAGCGGAGGCGACAATTGGACCTGCTCCGTCAGCGATGCTTTTGAGGTAGACGTTGGAGCCGGGCTCGACAGAAGGACAGAAGGGGCCATGTTGTTGGATGGTGTATATTCTGAATGTTAGAGTGACAGAAGACGCCTGGGGTGAGTCTGGGTTTAAGCTGAAGCATCTTCGGTGCCCTCAGGTTAGCTCAGAGTGATACAACTGCTGAATTCGAGCAATAGGATTCAGCGGAGATAAGCTACCCTTGCTTGGGCATCATGGAGATGGCAACTGGTGGCACGGATGACCCATCATGGATCCAGTCCTGGTCGTACCTTCCCCGCATGGAGATTCTGGGGTCGGGTCCAGTACTTACCATTTTGGGTATTCCACATCCGCCTTCCCCGATATGGTGGTTGGCGCCTCCAGTTTCCCGATTCGGAAATGGGCTTAATGCTGCCCGAAGAGGTTATTCGGATCCAGTTCTTCATGCTCATTCCACCATCATTCTGCAGAACTGGGCTTGTTCTGTTCCCACCTTTTCTCTGCTCTGGGTACCCTGCTCGTTATAAATTTGACCCAAGTCCCTCCTTACCCCGCGCCATGTATCGCCCTCAGAATCATTCCTGCAACTATGGCTGTTGGTCCTGTCCCGCAAAGTAACGGCGCATCCGCCTTGCCGCTGGTGCGCCAGCTGTCTAAAGACCATGACCATGTCTTGAAATCATTCCGTCTTCTCATTTCCGACCTGTGTCAGCAGTTCGGTGGAGGCCACCCGGGGTATGAGTTCACCGACTATGAGTCCAGCAGAACAAAGGGTGGTAACTGACTTGACCAGTGGAGCAATTGGCATGGCGGCCATAGGAGTCGCCCTCTGGCGATATGTTATGCAATACGCGCCACACTCCCCCGACTACTTCAACCGCGATCGCTTCATCCTGTCCAACGGTCATACCTGTCTCTTCCAGTACGCCTTTTTGCATCTCACCGGCTACAAAGCCATGACTTTTGAGCAGCTAAAGTCCTATCACTCCGACCGCGTCGATGCATTATGTCCGGGGCACCCGGAAATCGAACACGAGGGCATTGAAGTCACCACAGGCCCCTTAGGTCAGGGCGTTGCCAATGCTGTGGGTCTTGCTATGGCCACGAAGAATCTTGCGGCCAACTTTAACCGTCCTGGATACGATGTCATATCGAACCACACCTGGTGCATGATAGGAGATGCGTGTCTGCAGGAAGGCGTCGGACTCGAGGCAATCTCCTTTGCGGGTCATCTCAAACTCAACAACCTGACCGTTATCTACGACAATAACCAAATAACCTGCGATGGCTCAGTCGACCTGACCAACACAGAGGACATTAACGCTAAGATGCGTGCCTGTGGCTGGGACGTCATTGATGTGGAAGATGGTTGCTATGATGTCGAGGGGATTGTTCAAGCTTTGGAGAAGGCCCGCGCATCCCAAGAGAAGCCTACCTTTATCAATGTCCGGACCGTCATCGGTTTAGGCAGTAAGGTGGAAGGCATGGCTGCTGCCCATGGTGCCGCATTTGGTGCTCCAGACGTAGCAGATATGAAGAGGAAGTATGGCTTCAACCCTGATGAGCACTTTGTCATCAGTGACACAGTCCGAGGATTTTTCCAGGAGCTGCCTACTCGGGGAGAAGCTCTTGTTCAGCAGTGGAACTCTTTAGTGAAGCAATATAGCGCAGAATATCCTGAGCTTGGGGCGGAGTTCCAGAGACGCATGCGCGGAGAGCTGCCTTCGAACTGGAAGGACCTTATCCCTTCCAGCTTCCCTGACAAGCCCACGGCTACGAGAGCTTCGTCTGGTCTGGTCTTCAACCCTCTGGCCAAAGATATTGAATCCTTCATGGTCGGAACTGCTGATCTGAGTCCGTCCGTGAACATGATCTGGCCGGGCAAAGTTGATTTCCAGCACGTAAGTTCATTCTTGCTGTCGCTCTTACAGGACTTAGTGGGACCATGCTTACTAGATGCAGCCTGATCTACGAACCACTTGCAAGATCAACGGCAACTACTCTGGCCGATATATCCACTTCGGAGTGCGTGAGCATGCCATGTGTGCCATCTCGAACGGGTTGGCAGCGTTTGCTCCAAATACATTCATCCCTATCACCTCATCCTTCTTCATGTTCTACCTTTATGCTGCCCCTGCCGTGCGCATGGGTGCTCTTCAGCACCTTCAGGTCATCCACGCTGCCACTCACGACTCAATTGGCATGGGAGAAGACGGTCCGACACACCAACCGATAGAGCTGGCAGCGCTCTACCGTGCTATGCCGAATCTGTTGTATATTCGACCGGGAGACAGTGAGGAGACAGCAGGAGCCTGGATTGCAGCCCTGGAGGCCAAGAAGTCGTCCAGCATTATCTCTACCTCCCGTCACGCTCTGCCCCAGTTGAAGCAGACTCGCCGGGAGGGAGTGGCTCTTGGCGCGTACGTGCTGGAAGAGGCTGATGATGCCTCAGTGACACTCATTGGTGTCGGCGCAGAGCTCTCATTTGCGCTTGAAGTAGCCCAGCAGCTGAAAGAGACTAAAGGAATTGCGGCACGCGTCATCAGTTTCCCTTGCCAGCGACTGTTCGAGCAGCAGCCCCTCGAATACAAGCGCACGGTCCTGCGACGCCACCAAGGTATCCCGGCTGTGGTGATCGAGCCATATGCGCCGAACGGCTGGGAGCGGTATGGCGATGCAGGCATCAACATCCGCCGATTCGGCCACAGTTTGCCGGGCAAGGCTGCATACAAGTTCTTCGGCTACGAGACCGGAGTAATGGCGGCCAAGGTGAGCGATTACCTGGACCGGCTAGAGAAGGGAGAATGGCAGCGAGGAGAATTTGTGGATCTATAGGCTAGTGATCCTTTTGGATACCATAACCATTGAATGAATAAATTTAGACTTGAGGCAACTCAACAATGAATCAATTGAACTGAGTAGGAATTGGAAGATGCCCGGAGAAGAGATGTGGGGATTGACCGGGGCGAAGATCCACCCAGACGCGCCGGACTCGTATTGGGGAATCGGAAGCGCCGTCCTCGCTGCTTTAGTCTCCCCACTTCCCCTCCCCTCTTCCCAACTCAATTCCCCTCGCTATCTATAGACACTTTGGATCTTATCTCTCTAAGGCATATCCAGTCTACCGCTAACCCCGGATCTTTTCATACTGGCTACCACTGATGCCGCAATGAACAAATCATCACTCACCGCTCCCAAGACGCCAGATAGCCTTTTTCTCGCGTATCACGCGCACTAAAACTCGGTCCCTACGATGCTTACACACTACACCAGTTGCGCGGGGAACAAGAAATTTGAAGCAAGTTGGTATTGTCAGGCCCGAATAGGATAGGTTCTTCCCATCAACGAGGCCTGAATTGCAAGCTAAATAGCAAAACATACCAAGATATGACAGGACAGGACAGGACAGGATAAGACAGGACGAGACAAGCAAATAAAAACCTCCTTCACGAACAAAGAGGCAAGACAAGCAACACCAACAATCTGAAGATAACCAAGATGGAGATTATAAGCAAAAAGAAGCCAAGTCCAAGGGTATATCAAGCGCTCAAGCTAAGCAACGCTAATATAACATAACATGATTATGCATGGCTCTCAGGCCGTTGCAGAGGCTTCCCACACGAGAGGTAGGCACGGAGCTGAGTGGCTGCCTCTGGCCCCTACATTATAGAAACTCTCACGGGTTTCCCCAGCAGACTTGCCGCTTTCGGAGACCACTTCCCTATTGTCTTGCGGGGGCTCAACTCTGCCCTCGCCGTTGATTCTGTGGGTGGGCTCGACGTTGCCCTCGGCATTCATGTTATGGGCGGGCTCGACCCTACCCTCGCCGTTCATTTCTTGGGCGGGCTCGACCCTACCCTCAATATTATCCACTCGTGTGGTGCAAGGGTCTGGTTGAGAGAAAACTTCACGGGAACGTGTGCGAGTGGAAATCTCCCTTTTCCCTTTCGCCATCTCGAACCGGAGAGAGCGGTGGTGAAGATCGAATTCTGATGGCTGATCCTTGCTCTTTTGCATGACTCTGTTCGCAACCTCCGGTGTCTACACTTCATTAGTTGCTACACATTGGGACATGAATCATTACGCATACCTCGAATTGCGCAAAGGCGGTTCTCAAACCAGAATTAGGGTTCGTCTTCACTTTGACATAACAACATCCATATCTGGCAAGGATCCTCTTGAGCTCGAACTTTATCTGAGTTGGACAAAGAGCACTTGGTATACTGTAGTGTGTTAGTTTTCATCCCATCCGCTATTGAGTCTGGAAGGGTGACTATCTCTTACTTTCCAACAAAAAGGCGAGCTTCGAGGGGAAGGAGATCTTGAGCGTTTTCGTCTGTGACTTCTATTTCTCCGACGATTAAAACATCACACACGATGTCATGACCACTCTCAAGTGGTGACAATTCTCTGGACTGTGATTCAGGCTGTTCCGGTTCACATGGATTGTTGGCAACGTTGCCTTGACTCGGTCCCGCCTGGGCTTGAACTGAACCCTGTAGGGACGACTGCGGAGGGATAGTCACCCAAGAGGGACCCGATCGCTTGAGCACCTGCTGCAAGGGGGAGCCATGATGTACTTGGTATCCTGGATGGGTCATATGTGAAAAGTGGTGGTTATGAGACACATGCTGAAATGACGGGAAGTTACCCGCAGGTATATACTGTTGTCCCTCAAAGCCATGAGAAGTTATCCGTGAGGTGACATACACATGGTAACCGTTGGGCATGGTGCTTTCTGTGTGTATCACATCCCACTGAGCCATCTCTGGAACCCCAGGCAAATGATAGCTCTCTTCAGGGTCACACCATGGAGGTATCACGAAATATATCCAGAAAAGCCTATTCTTTTCTAGAACTCGCAGACGCAGACGAGCCCCGGTAAAGAAAACCCATTGCCAGATACACTTATTCCAAAGGGCGCCAAAAGGTTCCTTTCCGGGATATGGAATAGCACGAGTGAGCTGATGATGGGAAGCCATGTCGACTGCTGGAGGGAAAGGAACCAGCTTTGAAAGCAAAAGCCGTGAGTAACTTATCCCCTTAGCGATCAAGCAAAGCCAAGCAACAGAACGCTAACAAGCACGAATCAGATATTATCCTCCTTAACAGAGAACCCTATCAAAAACGCACTAGATCAAAGAACAGTGTGAGGTTTTGAAGAGATGGAGAAAGAAGAGTTGCTGTGGTTAACTCGGTCAAAGATAGCGAGCAGCCAAAGCGTGAGTGTGTTGTGGAGGGAGAAGTATGAAAGGCAGAGAACGAAACAGCCGGCAGGCTTATATACTAACGTCAGAAGTTATGCCTTCACGATGAGGTATGAGAAACGACCGTCGCAGCTATGACTGCAACTGTGACTGCAACCAGGCTTTAACTACGGTCTGGACTCTGTTCCTCTTATTCCCCAAGGACCCTACTTGCTACTCGCCGCTTTTTGGCTTGTTATGACTTCTACGGGATGAAGGAGATGGGACGTCAGAACCTGGTGGCTGTGCTTCCCTTCAGCGTCATCTGCGGCATTTTGAAGCCGCCGATTTTGCCAGGAGAACTACAAATAGGTGTGCGAGTAACTTGGTCCGTTCTTCTGTCCGGCTGGGTCGCTAGAAATTCTGGCCTTTTCTGGGGTAAATCAGGGCATGGTTCCTTGGGTGCAAGAACGAAGTATACAACTATGCGGCTTAGGCCCGGTATTCTGGCCGATATGATACATTCGGTGCGGAAAATTCAGCCTGTTGACATCGAGTGAGCGTTGTGGCATAATTTGTGGCGTTCTGGCCCCTGATATGGAGGCCCGTTGTCGAGCTGGGGCTTGAAGGTCAGTCTAGACGGCCATAGGCAGAAGCTTGAGCATGTGGAAATAAGGAAGTATAGAATGGCTGCTTTGAGAAATTGCTCATGGTATTGTGGTGATACCGGGATGTATTAACTATACAGAAAGAGGAAAGAAGGAGGTCATGATTATGTCGTCACTAAGGCAGGAAGTATGCAAACAGGCAAGGTATATACTCAGACAGTGAACGAAGGGGGGTATCGAATAAGCTTGTCTCCCAGGAACATCATCATGAAACAACTCGTCACTTCACTTAGCAGGCATCCCCATCAGCTCTCCCAGCTCGTCGCTAGTTAGTGTGCTCCGGCGTCGGTCCCCATGTCCTTTGCTGGATCCTTTGAGAGCCCGCCCACGCTTACGACTTTCGCTTTCTTTGCGAGCCTGTTCTGCCTCCCGGGCCTCGCTTTCGGCAGCTGCTAGCTTTTGGGGCACGCTCAGGCGAGCTTGGCTGCTCGATGCTTGGATAGCAGTTGCCCGGCGTGACTCTTTGGGCTGGGGACTTTGAGCGCTGCTTCCCTGACGAGAGAGCCCTTTTGATTCAGCCTTCCTCCTTGATGGTCTACGAGTTACCGCTTCTGAGCGGTGTGCTTTTACTTGTAGCGTTTCATCGTCCGCGCTCGGTTCGCAAGGTGAGTCTTGTAGACCCGCAGTAAATGAGACCTTCCGTGGCGAGCGTCCAGTCATGATGTTATCACTCCTTTCTTTCAAGGCTTTACTGGCTCTCCTAGATCTCGTTTCTCGCGTTGACTGACGAGTTCTCCTGGGGGACTGTGCAGGCCGACTAGGCTCAGTGGTTATTTTCGCAGCGGTTTGTTTTTCTTCCTCCTCTTCTGCTTCTTGGTCTTCGAAGATGGGTGACTGGATGGTCGTGTCTCGCCCCCCGTCTTGAGATAGTGCTTGCGTAATGTCCAGGCGTAGGTCTAGGCCTTGTCGGAGCTCTTCTGCCTGAATCGAATAGCCTCCATCTGCGATCCGTTTATGCCAGCCATCCATCATCGTAACGGCCTGGCTCCACCGGCTTTCCATTTTCTCCCAGCCTTCGCGAAGTCGTTTAATTTCTTCGTCCCGCATTTCTACTTCCTCTAGAGGCACGAACGATGGGTTCGTGAGCAGTGTTCGTAGATGCTCGAGGACATGGTCCATTTGTGCTGATAGCTCGTCACAAGAGGTCGGTAGTGCCGTTACCGAGCCTTGCAGGGACCGTCCAGCACCGACACTTGCCATCCCGGTCGCGGACTTATCTTCGTCTTCGGCTTGTGATAGACCCTGGAGATCCTTCAGGGTTTCAACTGTGTTTCGTGCCAATGATATCAGCGTATCATTCTCGTCACTGAGGTTTTGACATAGTTCAGTAAGGAAGTCGTTCGTTTCCTGTTTGAGACTGTATCCAGGATCGTTGATGCCCTCACCACCGGCCGCCAGTCTCGACCAAGACGATTGGCTGGCTGCTGGGTTGATATTGATAGTGGTCATCGACAGCCCTTCCCGCTTTCCGCGCTGGCGTTCAGCCAAGTGCGATTTCAGTTTCTGCATTTCCAGGTCGCGTTTGCGGATGTCATTTGCGCATTGAGCTCGAACTTGCTGAATGGTCGTCTTCATACGCTGCACTTGTTCCTTCAGTCCTCGAATAGTCGAATCGGCACTAGAAGCGTTCGCCTTCAATGCTCGCTCTTGCGCTTCTGCGAGAGCCAGCGAACGGGTCAGCTCGGATGCCTTCGTCTTGACTTTCTCCTACAGAAAGGTCGTTAGCCTTCATTGTGGTCGCAAAGTATACATTCAATGCCTATCGTACCAACTCTGCTGTTTTCTGCGATTCTTCCGCGCGCAGGGTGCGGATTGTGGTTGCTAGGTTCTCTCGGTGTTCGGCTTCACGCTGTTGTCGCTGTTAGCCAGTGCAACTTTTCCCCTGGGCCTTGCTGCTCCATACATCTCTGCGCAAAACCAGATCATTGATCAAGTTTATAATCCTCCCCATTGTGGCCGCCGTACCTCCCTCCTCATCTTCAGGATTGGCGAAATCAATGGGCTGGCCGCTCTTCAGCAGCCCCCTGGCCAACAAGACATTATTGATGTAAGTAGATGCTGCCTGCAGATTCTGTGGCTCCATGGCTTGCCTGCAAGCACTGCTGGCACCGACCTCTCTGAAGGGAGAGGATCTGCCGATTGATGTCGAGGGGTGTTTGTTGCGATGTTCCGTCGGGGACCGCCAAACTGTTATTATTATTTTTCGATGGCCGCGGGATTCCTAAAGGGGAAGAACATAAACAGCAGGCGCACTCCGGTGACCGCCACGCCCCACTACCGCTGTATGCTTATGTCATCCAGCTGCCCACATCTGATCTGTAAAGGGAAGTAAATCACTTTTCTTATCGCACGCGTCGCTCGCGCGCGTCCTCTTGCCTCTACTCAACTTCATCCTCTCAATTGGTATCATGGCGCGCGTAGTCCGCGGCGAGGGGGACTCCCTGCAAAAGAGAGGACAGCTGCTCTTTAGGCAGGGCAACTACTCAGACGCTCTGGCTGCGTTCACTGAGGTGCGTTCGCGCGGTCCACCATGTCCGATAAGGGAAACGCTACTAAGAAAATTGGCCCACAGGCTCTCTCTTGTAAAGGTGCCGATGTGATGAGCATTCTGGACAACCGCGCCGCAACGTACATCAAGCTTACGCAGTATGATCGCGCTCTCAATGACTCGCGACAGATGATCCGCAGGGACACCAAAGATGGACGGGTAGCTTGCAGCCTGTGCGATCGTCAGTTGCGTTTACTGTAGGCTAATTGAGCATTTAGGGCGTTTTGCGATATGGTCAGACATTACTTTTGACTGGAGATCGTGCAAAAGCTCTCAAAGCTTATGGGTATGGATTGAAAACCTTGCCTGAAGATCATCCCCGTCGTAAGGTAAGTGGCTTTGAACTGAGCTTACAGCGAGATGTGTTTATGGACGCTGACTGGCTCAGATGATATTGCAAATGTACTGCAAGGTGAAAGAAAGAGCGTCAGTGAAACGACTAGATCCCTTTGATACTCTACCTCTTGAGTTGGCCATGATGGTGCTGCAGCATTTCAATTTCAGGGAGCTGGCGTGAGTGAGCGTCCAAATTAGAAGTCCAACTAGCAAGCTGACGACTAGGCTTCTAGGGTCCTCCTGCGAGTTTCAAAGGGATGGCAGCGAATGCTTTCACAACCAGATCTTTGGATGCACCTGGATTTCACTGAGGCCCGACGCAAGGTCCATTGGCGCTCCTTTCGGGCATTTGTCCAGCGCTCGCGTGCCTTGCTAACTCATGCTGTCATGACCAACATATCTACCCCTTTTCAAGACAGAGTGCTAGAAGCTTTGAGTAGATGTCCAAAATTGGAACACCTGGAGATCCGGGACCCTATCACACAACCTAATGGGCTTTACGACGTGTTCAGGAGCTCAACGCAATTGAAATCTCTAGTTATTGGGAAACAGACACCTGTGGCTCAAGAAAATATCGCGAAGTTTCTATCAAGCTTAACGCAGCTTGAACTGCTAGAGATTCATAACGCCCAGCCGTCCCCCGAATCCAGAGTACTCTGGCCCTCACATCTGCCGAATTTGAGGAGCATTGCCCTGTTCACGGAAGCATCAATGCCGGCCCCAGGTCGTGTTCCTGCTTTATACATTCCTCCTGCTACTGTAAGTTGAGCTGGTCTTACGTGCTTAGCTGGCTGCATGCTGCTTCTTGTACTAACAGGTTTAAGGAGTCAATGTCTTGCTCAATGCCTAATCTTGAAGAGCTACGGCTGGACTCTTATCCCAAAGTCTGGGCGCCATACAACCTTTCATTTGACCCAGTTCAATTCCCCAGGTTACGTAAACTAGATCTGAAAGGTGTATTCGTAGGTCCTTTTGGTTTACCGCCGAGTCTCGAATATCTTTCCATTCATGCGGGTGCCGCTCCGACTGGGGAGGAATTCCCCTTTTCTCCCGAGCAACTCCTACACCTTCCGAATCTCCATACTCTTATACTTCGCGACCTTATTTGGGTCACCTACCGCACACTTCATGGGTTCATAGTCGATTCCAAGGCTTCATTACGGAATCTCGTGGTCGATCGGTGTCCGCAACTCGACACTGGGAAGCTCAGTCTTGTTCTGGTAGAGAATTCGGTCAATTTGACCGAGCTCGGAGTTCCTCAGCTTCCAGGCATCAATGACTCCACCGTGAAGACCTTGGTAGAAGGCTTGTCAAACCTTACAGCTCTGGATGTCTCCAACACCGATGTTACAGGTTATCTACTCAAAATGCTTGCTGACGCACGTTCCTCGAATGTCGACTTTCCACGTGTCGAGTATGTATACATCAAAAATTGTGACAATATCCCGTACGAGGCAATTACCTACGCTCGGTCACATGGGGTCAGTGTCATTCGGTGATGTACATGCTTCAGCACAAACGCACCCTGAAGCATGCTGGCATGCACAGGTATGTGTTTGATATTTGCATCTGGCGCCGTATCGAATGTTAGACTATAGATCTACAAAGTGTGCATACGTGGTATGGCTGTTCTACGCCCCCGAAAGTCTAATGTGGTCTAAACTGCCCGCACATATTTCACGGACGATAAAATCTGCGGCAGGATCTATGCGACACTGCACCTTATCAGATTACATTATGCTGGGGCGTTCCCGATAATGCAGGTCGATTCAGAACATGACCACCCGGTCATAATGCAAGAGGGTCATCTGCACAACCCTGCATTGCTCTCGATTATTAGGCACACTACTGCAAGGGAGACGACTGCAGGTACACCACAAGTCTTTGGTGGAAGAAAAGGGCATTTCACTCTGAATTATACAACTTTCAGGGCTCTTGATGAGTGCTGTCAGGTCTACATTTCGGGCAATGTCATCAATCTTTCAGTTAGAATCTCTCAATCATATGAAAGAATTTCAAATAATGCACACCGTATCAGTGGATGTTCATTTCTGAAATCTTAATATAGTAATAGCGCCATGAAATCCCCTTCGCCTCGATAGGGTTCTGGACGCGGTTGGGATGATACGGTCTTTGAATAGCGAGCGCCGTTGGAGACGGACTTCAAGTCCGCTCCTCTCAGCCCCGACAACATCATATATAAAGTCTGCCACCCCCACTTTAATGAGCGATATTCTCTCAAATATGCCCGTACTAATATTCATTATCTATACTATCTAACCGCCTATCATAAAATCATCCTCCAGGCTGATCAATGGCCTCCATCTCGGAAATCCGGGCCTCCAACTCCCGGATCACCTCAGAGACGGTGCCCCGCACAGCAGTCTTCACTGGAGCCACAGATGGCATTGGAAAGGCAACACTCACTCGTCTGATCTCTACAAACCTACCAGTCCGGGTGTATGTCATTGGTCGGAACGGCAAAAGGCATCAAGCTTTTCTAGATGAGCTTCGACTGTCCAACAGACAGGCACAGATAACCTGGCTGGAAGGTCAACTGTCTCTTCTCGCGGATACCAAGAAACTATGCGATGAAATCAAGAGACGCGAGACGAGTCTTGACTGCTTGTACCTAAGCGCTGGCTTCATCTCCTCTGGAGAGCGCATTGGTACGTATATTCTAGTTACCATTGACCAAAGAGTATCAGCTCACAAATGACGACGATTAGAAACATCAGAGGGCAAAAGCCTCTCACTATCGCTCAACTACTACAGCCGAATCTTGATGATGACCCTGCTTCTCCCCTTATTAAACTCATCGCCCAATAGCCCACGCATCGTGAGCATCCTCAACGCGGGGTATGAATCATCTTCCATCTACCTCGACGACCTCGATCTCGAGAAACCGGGCCACTTCAGTCTGCTCTCTCTTACCAAATCGATGTCCACCTACACTACATTGTCCATGTCGACATTGGCTCAAGAAAACCCTCATGTGGTATTTGTTCATCATTACCCTGGCGGCGTCACCACAGATGCCTTTAAGAAGGCCTGGGGTGGGAAGTGGTATTTCCCACTGTTCAGAGCTGCACTGTCTGCGTTTGGAACATCTCCTGAAGATGCTGCGGAGAAGGTGTTGTATTTGATCACTAGTGCTAAATATGGTGGCAGGGGAGTTCCCCTGCGAGAGGGACAGAAGGCCGGTATGACTATGGCAACATCCGTTAAGGGAGGTGAGCTGTTTGCTATCGACAATAAGATGAAAGAGCTGTTTCAGGGGAAGGTGATGTTGGAGTTGCAGGCCATGAATGCGGGTGAGATTGTTTGGCGCAAAACGGTAGAGACACTCGCGCCGTATTCTTCGTGAGGGCGAGGAGTCAGGTGCTTACATTTTTAATACTTATAATCAATTACTGCAACACGGTACTATGTGAATCAAAATTTGGTAATTAGTAAGTCATCTGGATGAAGCATGGCACTCATTGTAAGCCGAACGGACTTCGGCCAGTCAAAGTCCGGCTTACCAGAACGAAGTCCGGTTCAGCCGACGGCCAAAGACCGATTCCGTCTCAACCACTGCACACCTACGCAGATGATTCTCAATTCAATCAAGTTACTGTTATTATGGAGAGAAGGGGTCCAACTCCAGGCTCTGGTTCATATGGCAAAGCTTGCAGACAATGCTCCAAGGCCAAGTGTCGGTGCGTAGCTCGACCCGACGGTACCGGCTGCGAAAGGTAAGCGTCTAACTATGAGTATTGATTTGATTCTAATCGCCACTCAGATGTCTGCGTCTCAAGAAACAATGCCAGCCATCAGAACCAACCCGTAGGAAACCTCATCGGAATCCCGAGTCGGGTACGCAGATAGCGAAGCTTGAGGGGAGGATTGATAGCCTCACGGCAATGCTTCGATCTGTCGCACATGCCGCTGGAGTATCTAGCAATCTGCAAACTAGTTCGAATGCTAGTACAAATGAAGATCTCAGCAACTTAGCTATCCCTGACACTAATCATGACAGCATACTGGTACCACCGTCATTGACTACTGCACCGTCTCATTCGACTACGACTCCGTCTCTTTGCAATGGCTCGAGCCAGCCATTAGCACTACAGCCACCCCTATATGAGTTAAACCTAGACGAGGCATCCTGGTATCTCGAACGCTTCACGACGAACATGCTTCTATGCTTTCCTTTTATCTGTCTGCCACCAAACACAACTACGCAGCAGTTGCAAGAAGATCGGCCATTTCTCCTCGAGGCCATCATTGCGGTAGCTACGCCCTCAACCCAGGCGAAACTAGCTCGCACAGATAGATTGAAATCTCGCTTAACTAAGTCAGCTATGCTTGAGAATCAGTCCAGCATTGATATGCTGCTAAGCATCCTGACTTACATTGCATGGAGTACGGATCCTTTCGTCAAACGCGCAAGTAATTTGTCTCGCATGATAATGCTCGCTATTTCTATGGTCTATGATCTCCAACTGGACAAGCAGCCACCACCCGAGGTGCCCATAATAGCGAAGATGGCACCCGGGCTGGAAAATCCGGAGCAGAATGCAAGTAATAATTCCCTGCAATGGATTTCGGAGCAGCATCGAGCGAAATTGGCTTGCTTTGTTCTCAGCTCGATGTAGGCATAGCCCTATCCTTATATTATCACCGGAGTGTGTCTTTCCACTAACATGACTGCACCCCAGCATCTCGTCCACCATTGGCCGCATAGCTTCACTCCGGTGGGACATCCAAATGGAACATGCCCTAAATATAATCGAGACGAATAAAGAAAGCCCATCAGACGAGTATCTCACAGCCCAGATCCGTTTACAGATCCTCGCCCAAAAGGCCTTATCCCTCCGTGACCCAGACGAGCCATCCCCCTCCACAACACCTCCAGCCACAACCATGTATCTCAAAGTACTCCAAAGACAACTAGCTGAACTCCAATCCTCAGTCCTACCACATCTCCCCCATTACGGTGAGTAATTACTTTAATTATCCCTAATCACCCATACTAAATAAACTCCCAGAACTCCTCCACCTCCAAACCCACTACACCTCCCTCCTCCTCCACGAAACCCCCCGCCCCGCCAGCTCCAGCACCCCTCTACTCCCCAGCACCCCAGACTCCCTAACCTCCCTCTGGAACTCAGTCCAAGCCATTAAGTCCTGGCTCTCGACGTTCCAAGCCCTCCCCGCATCGACCATCACCGGGTTTCCCTTCTTCATGTGGTTCCAACTCGTCCGATGCATCGTACTCCTGAAACATCTCTCCACGTTCGAGGACCCAGCATGGGACCGCGACGCCGTGCGGCAGGAGGTGGATATGCTGGCGTTGCTGGAGTGGATGGGGGAGAAGGCGGAGATGGCTAGTTTGGAGGCTGGGGAGGGGTCGGATGATGATTTGTTTCGGAGAGTGGGGAGGATGTTGAGGTTGGCGAGGGAGTGGGTGGTTAAGAAGATGAGGGGGGAGGTGGGTGGGGATGGATTGGTGTCTGAGGAGAATAGTGCGGGTAGTAATGAAGGTAGTAGTGGTACAATGGGTATAGATATGGATATGGATATGACTGATATGGCGTGGATGCATGCGCTGGAATCTGGGGATGGAGGTTGGCTTGAGGAGGTGCTGGGGTGGTCGCCGCTTGCTGTTTATAATATCTAGATGCACGTCTGCTAACGAATATTTATAAATACGGTATAGAAGTCTTCGCATTTCTGTGGATACGCTGACGACCCGTTAGCTGCTCATCAGCTACACTGGCTCTATATCTATTCTGAACTATACATCCCACCACCCCTCCAAATAAGACCTCAAATCAATAGTATCAGGGCGCTTCAAATGCGGTGTCAGATCCGCATCCGGTATTGTCTCTCTCGTCGTCCACCCGTTCCCAAAATAAGCGAACCTATTGCCACTCGGGTTGGTATAAGAATAGTCCCAATCTTCCCATCTAGGATCTCGTCTCAAGTAATTCAATGCTGCCGCACTACCAGGGAATTGACCATGGACTTTGCCACCAGGCCGACCGCCGTTATACCATGAGCTACAATTCTTCTGGCCCGGGGTAGAGTCGTCATTAGCTGTCCAGACCGTGCGCGGGTAGAACTTGTCGCAGTATTCGACGAAGTCATCAGCTGCTTGCTTGGATGGTACCATAGCTTTGATGCCTTGGCTGCGGATCTTCCGCAGGAGCTTGGCAATATAGGTGATTTGATTCTCCAGAGAATTGGGCACGCTGCCTGAGGGACCGGTGGATTGGGGGCCGCCGATCCAGAGTAGATTGGGGAAGCCCGGGGTGGCTACTCCGAGGTAGTTGTAGGGGTAACCGTAGAGGCCGTCGTGTTTCCAGGCCTTTTTGAGATCAATTCCGTTGGAGATGATGGAGAAGGGTGGGGCATGGTCGACGTTGGCTCCGGTGGAGCAGATGACAATGTCGACGGGCCGTTCAATGCCATCTGTGGTAACGATCCCTGTTGGGGTGAAGCGCTGGATTGGGGTTTGAATGTAGCTGACGTTGTCTTTGGTCAGGGCTTCAAGGTAGCCTGGGCCAGGAGTGGGACGGCGACAATTGGGTGGAAAGTCTGGGATAAGCTTATCGATGAGTTCGGGCTGGTCGCCGACTCTTGACTTCATCAATTCGGTCCATTTCTCGCGCAGACCGCGATTCTCTGGGGAGTCTTTAAAGATGGCACCGAAGCGAGAGAAGTATCCTGCTTCGACGCTCTTGCGGTATGCTAGATAAGTGTCGGGGTCGCGAAAGGACTCGAGTTGTTCGGGAGAGAATAAATTAGCTTCGAGTCGGCGCACGCCAGATGTGCCGAAGGAGTCAGCTATCCAGGTCCTGTTGCGAGCATAGTGGTCCACGTGTTGAGCAATTGGCTGGATCGAGGGCAGCACCTGCAAGCCAGACGCCCCGTTACCGATCAGTGCGATACGCTTGCCATTCAGGTCGACATTGTGATTCCAGTGCGACGAATGGAAGAGCACGCCTGTGTATTCCTCCCTGCCTGGGTATTCGGGCAGCTTCCACTCATTGAAGTGGCCAATAGCGTTGATCAACACGTCGAGGTCTTCTTCATAGATCTTCTACCCGTCAGCAATTGCGCATAAGCCGCAAAAATCGCGTAGTGTCATACTCGGTTTGAATCTCCCAAGTCCTGTAAAGTCACACGCCATTTACCCAGTTCAGGTAACCACACGGCCTGGTCGACTTTCTGCTGTAGTCGAAGGTACTTGTGTACATCATATGTTCGCGCTATGGATTGCCAATACTCGCGAATCTCGGCACCTTGTGCAAACTCTTCGGACCATTGTGTGTTCGGCTCGAATCCGGACTGATAGACATGCGCGGGAATATCGCATCGTACTCCAGGATAAGTATTTTCGAACCTGTTCATCAGCACCAGCCGTCGCATGTTATAAATGAGGTTTCCTACCAGGTGCCTCCCTGTATGTCCTGTTAGGAATGCATGGCATGTGTCTTGGACCCGTTACTTACCACACCAGAGTTCTTCTCATAGATCCGTAGGTCCAAACCAGGCAGTTTTGCTGGGAGCAAGACTCCTGCTGTAATTCCTGCCAGACCAGCTCCAATCACACCGACTTTTATCGGACGGACCTCGTCAATTGGATGCTCTTCGATCTCAAAAGCCGGACGAGCTTGGCCGTCTGCTTTCTCGGACACAGATAACTCATTGATGAGCGACCCGAGAGACACTGCGGGGAGGTGCTTGGGATCTGCCTCTATGACAGGTTCGTGACGTATGAGCTCGGGTCCTTTGACTGCTGCCATGGCATAAAAGTAACTTCTGCTCTATGGGACACATATGATGGTGGATGAGTCGGCGAGGTGCAAGGTAGTCCTTTAAATGGCCGCTGAGAGAGAGGGGTTGCGAGATCGGCAACGTACATCACGCTCGATGAAGTGAAGTGAACCCCTCTTCCGACAGCCTGCACGCCATCTGCACCTCCTTTGACCTCACAAAGCTGTCTGGAGAAGCCAGTAACAAGAGTCGTAGAGGTACCGGGATCACACCATTGCGGACTGCAATGATGCGAGAGGGGCTTATCTCTAATTTAGCAGCACTATCAACTCGGCACAAATATGCCAAAATCTAGGCGCATTCCGATGACAGAACGGGTAGTAACATATGAAGCATGTATCGAAGCTGCAGGCAATTCGGTGGTTGAGTTAGCAGTAGCAGTTGAGGTGCAGAAGATCACCCAAAAGGGAATGATGGGCAGAGGGGATCTTGAGTTCCAGTGCAGCAACCGCGTGTAGCCGCTCATCGGCACTCATGCTGCTCTGGCCAATTCTCGAATATCATAGCAGCCATAGCCAAATGCATACCACAATCCATATTATAGACAATTATACTAGCAATAACACTATACAAAATCGCAGCGACGCGCAATGCGAGGCTTTCATCAGGCGCGGTATCACGTGAAGCAGCCGTCAGCACTTTGGGAGTGTCAGGTGACATCACTTCACGGACTGGTGGTTGACATCACGTGGGACCATGATACAGCCCATTACAATCCAGCAAATAGGCACAGATTAGGTTTCTTGGGTTTATTTTCCGTTTACTGATTCTTTATAGTCTGGCTGGAAAAAATAATTGCTCCCGGCTGGCGGGCCTTGAAATGCTGCGGATTGCTGATTTGGCAGGCAAGCGGGCCTTGGTTGACAGGCATCCCCGGCCTTGCCTGAATGCCTCGATGCCTGCAAAACTCGGCATTCATAGCCGACCTCGTGTTCTCCTCGCTTCTCTTTGTCCAACTTCGCCTTGACAACGCCCGGTGCTCTTCAGCTATTGTTCTTCGGAATAATCTTAACCAGAATCATCCGCCGCTTTTGCTGTTATGATTCTCTTCTTGTGTGGTTAAATACATTCTTCCTAACTAACAACCCTCTCATTCCGGACTGCTGCGCGCCCCGGCATCCTAAGGCTATCACTTTTCCAGCAGATATGGCTCCCGTTGGTCTCCTGACTAAACTCAGGACTCTAATCACCAAGGACTATGGTAAACTTATGAACTATAAGATTCTTATATCTTTGTCTGACTTATTCCGTAGATGAGCCTGCCATTTCAACACAGACAGCCGCCTTTCTCTCGGTATGCATTTCTGATCATCAGCTCCTACCAACTCTCCCACGTGCTTTTGGCCTTCTTATTGCTCTTCAGGCCAGTATCTGATTCAAGTACTAGGTTTGCCTCACCCTCGTCTATGTGGTTCCCTTTTATGTGAACCCGACGACCCGGCCATCGCCCACCCTGAGTAGAGATGCGCCGTCGGTAATCCGGGCCAGAATTAGAGCAGTGACATTTTCATGCACCATTAGCAGCCTGGTCGTCTTATGGCTAGTTGCTGCCAAAGAAAACGCTTCTTTCTCTCGAGCTCTCCATTTCCTGGGGTGGTGGCCTGTTGGTCTCGTGGATATCTTCCGCAGCCTGCTTCTCACAGCCATCCTTTTCGCCGGTCCACTGTTTGAGCGCGGTGTTGCCGAGGGCGAATGGAGAGAGTGGATTCGGGGAGGAAGAGTCACTGCATCGCTTCGCAGCTGGATTGGATGGAGGAATTATGTCGCGGTAAGTCCAGTTTGCGACGGCAATGTCTGGCTTTATGATTAACTGGGCGATGCAGGGTCCCATCACCGAGGAGGTCATGTTCCGCTCAGCCATCGTCCCCCTTCATCTCCTTGCCAAGGTTGATCCCGGCCGCATTGTATTTGTGGCTCCTCTCTATTTCGGCATTGCTCACGTACACCATTTCTACGAGTTTCGCCTCACGCATCCTGATACATCGATTGTCGCTGCGATATTGAGATCAGTCTTTCAATTCGGTTACACGACGATTTTCGGCTGGTATGCCACCTTTGTCTACCTTCGTACTGGCTCTCTTCTGGCAGTTATTCTTGCCCACACTTTCTGCAACTGGTGCGGATTACCGCGATTGTGGGGAAGAGTAGAGGCGGGCGTACCCATCGGGCCCCCCATGGTCAAAGGAAAAGGATCCTCAGACGTGACATACGGTCAACTCAGTCTTGGCTGGACCGTCGCATACTACGTAATCCTGGTCGCGGGAGCTATTGGCTTCTTCCAAACGCTATGGCCTTTGACAGAATCATTGAACGCATTGGCCAGCTTTTCTGGTGCGACAAAATAAATATATTAATGAGAAACCAGCATCTAGCGGGCGTATGATCTGAAGGATTGCAGCATCGACTTTTTGTCTGTCTCGTGCCAAATCGCGAGCTTTTCGGCCCATGGATTTGTCTGCCATTATAGCGACAAGCATTATTGTGAATAGCTTGACCGCATGCATCCTTGTTATGACCATAGTATTGTTAATGTCCAACTCCTCAGTTTGATCGAAGTGCACTATTATATATGCATCATGGCGTTTCGTTGCAGCACTACAGGCAGTCTAGGATTTGGGCACTTGTTGAGCAAAGGTTTAACAATAATATATGAAATTAATATGTACTATTCAAGTGAGAATGGGTTCAATTCAGTACCGTACTATTCATGCGGTTATCAGTAGTAGTTCATGGAGATTGCGATTCGGACTGCAGTGTGGATCGCAATGATGCCGTCCCAGAACTAACTACACTTCATCTTTATATATTTTGGCCGGCAGACGAGTGCCACTGCTTCTAGTACTTTTATCCACAGTACACCATTAATGCTACTACTAGATCAATAATTGAAATCGCAATCTGCACACTTGCAATGAGCTGTCTAAAAAAGTCCGAGCTGTAATGCAAATAGTAATAAGAAAATTCCCCCGACCAGTCACCAGCCTCGGATTATGAAGGCGGGACTTGGAAATCTCCGCTATCTCCGACCGCACCGAATCCTCCGCAGCTTCGGGGTTGCTCTTTTCAGTTTCCCCCATCCACCACTTCTCACTGCCAGTTCTGACCAAATACCCTCCTCTTTTCCATCTAATTAATTCTGCAAAACCTCAGTTTGTTAGACACATAGGATATGGCCGGCCGACAAAGAATCATGCGCGCAGCATCACTGTACAGCCTGCCATCAATTTCCCGACCCAACCGCTCCGCCGCAACATCAGCTCGCCTCTTCTCATGCACATCCCTCCGCTCCAACCGCTCGCGCATACCCCTGGACATCCCTCCTCCATTCCCCATTACCAAGACATGTCCCGAACCGAGCTGCTCATGTCCCTCGACACCGTCCATGCCCGCCCCGATCGACTATGACCAGCCGCTAAACGGAACAATGGCGGCCTACGCGCAGCAGCTTCTCATCTGCACCGGACAACGAGACTGGACAAGTCGCATAGAAGAGGACGGTCAGGGCCAGAACTGGGGTGAGCTGGTTCGAGGATTGAAAAGCCTTCTCGGGCGTGGGGGGAAATATGCCGACGTAAGACATACTTCCTCATTCGGGTCGCAACATCCCACTGACAATTGCTACTATAGCCCTTCAACAATATCCTAGTCACCAACGCCTCCTTCCTCCCCTCCTCCTCCTCCTCCTCATCATCAACCAGCACATCTACCTCGCAGACCGCATCCGCCTTTCTCTTCCCCAGCTTCAAATACTTCCCCTCCGTCCCCGTTAATCTCCCCGATTCCGCCCCCGCAACAACCGATCTCTCGACCTTCGTCCGCGCGTTCCTCCTCCCTATCGAATCGAGACATGGCGGGCAGATCCGCGACCAGGCTCTGGCGGCTGAATTCCCAGATGCTGTTGATCTGCAACACTCCCCCGTTGTGTTGATCTGCGGCCACGGTGGTCGCGACATGCGATGTGGTGTAATGGCGCCGGTTCTGGAGACCGAGTTTCAACGGGTGTTGCAGTCTAAGGGGTACACGTCCGCGGGAAGTGACAATAGTGTCGTTGACAGCCCCGAGCATGCTCACATCGGGTTAATCAGCCATGTTGGCGGACACAAGTACGCTGGAAACGTCATCGTTTACATCCCTCCCGGAATGAAGGAAGCTGGCTCTTCCTCGCCGCATCCATTGGCGGGCAAGGGTATCTGGTATGGGCGTATTGAGCCCAAGCATGTGCAGGGTGTGGTGGAGGAGACGATTCTGGGTGGAAAGGTCATTACGGACCATTTCCGTGGGGCAGTTGATCGGGAGAGTGGGGTGTTAAGGTTGTAGACTTGGTGTTAAAATATAGTAGTGTATAGTAGAAAATAGATTCCTTGGTCATGGCAGTAGTATGGTTCTGGAGGGATGATATATGGACTAGCGTTGAAGACTAGATAGATCATGCAATATTGAGGGGCTGTGATGGAACTGATTGTTCGAGATCCGTAGTGCTAGACCACAGGGCAACGCTTAATCTGGATCTTATATTGAATAATTTGAATATTGTCTGAATGGAATGGGTATGTTGTCCATTCATATCATCTCTGATATTGCTTACGTACCAGAAACCCAACCCCAGGATCATCTCCGCATCGGCTTCCCGGCTGCGGGGAAAAGCAAAGCATCGGGATGCCGGTTAAACAGAACATACACACAACAATATGATACAACACAGCTCAATTGCCAGCGAAAACACAAGCTATATACTAGCAAAACCACGATTCTTTTGATTTTTCCCAGCCCAACTCCCTACTCAAAATGCACCCATCCAATTACTCAATCTTGCCCTTATTGACGACAAATCCCTCCAACGCCGAAATGGCAGCCCACAGACGATTCTCCGCCTCAGGGAACACCAACGACCGATGTCCATAGAACACCTCATCAGCAACCTCCTCCGGGTGCCTAGGAAGACAGTGCATGAACCTCCACCCCTCCTTCGCCCCACCCCTCTTCGCCAACTCACTCGTAATCTGGAATCCAGCGAAATCCCTCAACCGCTTAGCGGCCTCCTCCTCCTGGCCCATCGAAACCCAAGTATCAGTAACCAACACATCGGCCCCCTTCACCGCCTCCTCAGGAACATTGGTCTGCACCAGCTTTCCAGGACTCTTAACCCCCTCGCCAGCCTTCTCAATAATCTCCAACATCTCCTTGGGGATCTCATACCCCTTCGGCGTAGCAACAGCAACATCAACGCCCATTTTCCTCGCACTGATCGCCATATCGAAAAGCACGTTATTCGCATCGCCCACCCAAGCGATTTTCAACCCATTCAGCCCCAAACCCTCCAACTTCCCCTTGCCCGAGGCAGCGAAATGCTCACTAATAGTCTGAAAATCCGCAATAGCCTGCAACGGGTGATACGAGTCACACAGGGCATTGATAACCGGCTTAGTAGAGTGCTTGGCGAGGTCGGCGACGTCAGCGTGCTTGCCCACGCGGGCAACGATACATTCCACCATGGAGGAGACGACCACGGCAGTGTCGTAGAGGGATTCATTGACTCCCAGCTGGATGTCGTCCTTGCCGAGGAACATGGGGTGGCCGCCCATTTGGACGACGGCGCCTTCGGTGGAAATGCGGGTGCGGGTGCTGCGCTTGCTGAACATCATGGCGACGGTCTTGCCGGAGAGGGCGCCGTGGAGGGATTGGGGGATGGAGCCGGATTTGATGGCCCGCTTGTGGGAGGAGGCATTGCGGACGAGGGTTGCGAATTCGGTTGGGGTCAGGTCGGCGATGGAGAGCAGGTGCCGCGGTGCGAAGGGAGAAGTTGCCGGCGTTGCGGCGGAGTGACTGGTGGAGGAGTAGAGGCGGCGCAGGGCGTGGCGGGTTGTGGAAGGCCCGTAGCGGGCGGCTGCGGCCGCTGTGCGGAGGGGGGAGGGCATTGTGAGTTTGGTAGGAGGGATTGAGAGGGGATTGGGAGGTAATGGTAGAAAAGAGAGAAGGGATTTGGGGAGGTGAGTCAATATAGGTAGGACAGGACTGGGGATGCTGTCACGTGAGAGGTGTTGGGGGAGTGGGCCGATTACGGAGGACTATGACTCAATAGTTCGATTTGGTTGGCGGATGGGGAAAAAAAGCTACTAGACTAGTAGATAATACTGTGCTGCATATGGACATTTCTATGAAGATGTAGAGAATGTGATGATGGTATTGGCTAACTACGATTTTAGGCTATGTATGTATGCACAGGGTATTTAATTAGTATCTCTCGACCAGCCACTTGCGTCGCGCTTCTGCCTCCATTGCATTCAGCTTCTTGCTCTCGGCTCGTTTGACCGTGATATAGTTCTCAACAAGTGTGTTGCCAAGCACATCCCGGAGAGCCTTGTCGGCTGCCATATTATCCAGACTCTGTGCCAGGGTCGTGGGAATTTGGGTGGTTATCCCAATGGCACTGCGGTCCGCCTCGCTGAGTGTTGCCGCGTCATCTATATCGATTTGTTAGCATGAGTGCACTCTAGAGGATAACCTCACTGGCAGGAATACTTACATAAACAGTCCTGCAGGGTCAGGGGCAGCTTGTCCTGCACACCCAGGTATCCTGCGGCTAGAATTGCAGCCATTGCCAGATACATATTGGACAGACCGTCAAGTGCCTTGATCTCCCAGTGACCCGCAGAGATCTTGCGGATAGGTGTTTCGCGGTTCTGAGTGCCCCAGGCGACCCACTCGCTTCCAGCCCAGAGGCCGGAGTGCATCCGTTCGTAGCTGACATCATTAGACAGAGTGAAGGCCGTCAAAGAGGTGAAGTGCTTGAGCACACCAGCCAAGAAGCTCTCCTCCTGAGTCGCAGGAGTTATGGAGACATGCGCATGTGCGGCTGAGCCAGCAGCGTGTGAGAAGGGTCGGGGATGAAGGGTTGCACGGTAACCGTGCTGCTCAGCGATATAAGTCACGACCTGTCGTGCCTTGAGCAGGGTATCGACTGCGGCGACGGGCGAGCCGGGTGGCAGAATGAATTCAAACTGGCCCGGGGCCGATTCAGCGTGGAATTGTTCAAGGTCAATGCCGATGGATGCAAGAGTATCGACAATTTCCTCAAGAAGCGGCACCATGCGTCGGGTGTCTCGGGTCATCTGGGACCAGGAGTGGTTGCGCACACATGGAACAAACTCTTCCTCATCGGTGTCCGGTTTGGTGACGCACTTCAGCAGAATAACCTCAATCTCGAATCCGCAGAGAATTTCGATTCCATGATTGGCACGTAAATCAGTCGTGACGCGGCGCAGAAGGGTCCGTGGACATCCTTCCACCTCCAAACCCTCCTCAGAACGCCCCCAAGTCATTACTGTGGCGCTCTTCGAGTCGATCCCCACATTTCGAGAGAGGGTTGAGAGATCTGGTTCTAGATAGAACTGGCCGGTTGTGGAACCTTCCGGACAGACTGTGTCGGATTGAAGCATCAAAAACGTGGCTGTACAGATACCGATCCGGCGTTGCTTGCGAACAATCTTAGCAAACTCCCGGATAGGGAACATCCGCACGCGCACTGTGGAAGTGTAGTCAAAGAACTGCATCCAAATATACTTGACATCTGGATTGCTGTGCATGAAACTTTCCAACGCGTCGGTCGAAGAAAGTCCAGAAAGGTTGCTGACGGCAGGGACCAGCCTGTCGTCGTAGGAAACGGTTTCATTAAGGCTGTACAGGCGGTTGGAGTTGTGGAACAATATATCGGCAGCAGCTAGCTTCGCCTGATCGACGCTGTGATCGCCTTGAATGACGTAATCCACGAGAACCTAGCAAAGATAAGTTTCTGAAAGGATGTATAGGACTTGATATGACAGGAACGGACCTTTTCCAGTGCGTCGCGGAACTGTTTGTTCGCCAACCAATATGTCTCTGGGAAGAAATGGCCATCGGTACTCCACAGAAGGCGGGTTGTGGGCACGATCTCCAGACTCTCGCGAATGATAGATTCCTGAGCATCTCGACTCACCATGGGAAACACCTCTCCAAGGTCTAGATACACATTCGGGTAGACACAGGCGAGATAGCCGGCCTCCCGGGTATACGGATAAGCGGAATGCAAAAGCACAAAGTCCACCTTGGGATAACGGGCAACCAAATCCTGTAAATATGCGGGATTCGAAAGTATTAGGTTGATATCATTATCGCCGAGTCCCGTGTGCAGTTGCAGTGGTTTGTTGGGTTCCGACGCATCTTTCTCCTTGGCAGATTGCAGCTGGTTCAGGGCCTGCCTGACCAGCCAATCGTTCAGGGGTTTGTCCTCCACGCGATATGTAGATCCAGATCCTTGCGACAAGGTCCGGGAGAAGGACTCGAGGAGATTGCTGTCGTCTTTGTCATCGGCCACTTGGACGTTCAGTCCAGTACGATAGCAGATGACTGATTTGAAGCCTACCACCACGGGATCTGCGATGGCCTCTGAGATCTTCTGGTTGAAACCCTGGCTGAACTGGTCCAGATACTGGCGAAGAACGGTGATGTCGCTCGAGGACTGATCATAACCGTTGGGAAGGATGGAGGTAAGGACTTGGGCGGCCACAACTTCAATCCGTACGATCCGCTTGGTCGGAGCTGTGGTGAAACGATCATGCCAAGTGAAAGGCTCGATATCTTGATCCGTAAGCAGATCATCAAGAAGAAGGCTATGAGTGCCTTCCAGACACCGACGGATCAAGCCATCATAGTCACGCTCGACATATTGATCGCGAGCCGCCTTGACGCGGTCCCACTCGGAAGTCGGGCAATCGTAAAGGGTCGCTAGCTGGGCGGCGGCACGCTGGAGGGGTAAGGTGGACGGAGCATTGTGTAGGGCGGAACCTTGGGCCTCGGAAGTGATCTGTTCGAAAGGATATTTTGCGTAGTTGCGGGCTGCGGCCTGCGCAAGGAGATTATGGGCGTGGTTGTCGATAAGAGGATGCGTTTGGATGAGGCGACGAAGAGACGCGAGCGGATCCATGGTGCGCTGATTGGTTGGCCGGTTCGATCGATCGATCGTTTGCGGACCACGGTTAGTCGGCCAGGATTGACCGTGCGCCTTGAAACCAGGGAGGAGGAGGGGGAGGAGGGAAAGGGTCAAGGCGAATGAGGCAGTTGAGAGAAGAGAGAAAGAGGGAAATGTGAAGGAAGACTGAGAGGAGATACAAGGTACTCATAAAAGATATAAGTAAAAAAAACCTGCGAGCCCAGCCGATAAAGAGTGAATGGTGAAGAGAGAGAGAGAAGGGGGCAAGTAGACGATGCTTACCCGATTAGGCAGCTCGCGAGTAACCGCCGACCGGGAAGGTCCAAATTGCTTGATTCAGTCATTCGCGTTTCTATTCATTGAATCTCTTCGCCAAGCTCCCAGATAGACCTGGTCCGGAGTTCTCTCCGAACCAGTTGCTGGCGCTGCAGATGGTCGTGTAGATGGCGTATAAGCTCCGAGGTACGCAAGAGGGCAATCTCGACGACCGGAGCTCGTCAACCATACGCAATCCGGTATCTTCCACGAGCTTGGGCGGAGTCCAGTTCCACCACCAAGTCGATCATCTTCAGCGGAAGAATTCCAAAGGTTGGTTATTCTTATATATCAACTTCCGAGGATTACCCCCCGAACGTTTCTGGAAAACTCGACGGGCCATGGAGGTCGTGTCTTGGAGCAGTTTTCACCTCCTCCATCCTCATAGGGTGATTCGGGCGATAATCCTCCGCTCTCTTGCTTTCTCCGTTGCCTAATAGTACTAGAAAGGCCAGGGTGTATTTACGATTTACGTACTAATCCTTGAAAGACTCTCGGGACAATCACATCATGCTATGGCCCAGTCGAGACATGCTAACGATTGACAAGTCCGCTGTCACCAGAACACTGGTGGGGGTTCTCCTAGAGCCGTGTTACTGGCGTGGAAAGCTCCCAAATGGGTAACCAGCTCCTCTCCTCCAAGTCACCCCAATACATCAAAACGGAAAAACCCCCGGATGGCCAACAGCACCAACAGGATATGACTTCAGGTATTTGGTAACATGGTGAAGACTAAATAGAAGAGCCGGGCCTGGAAACCAAGCCACCGAATTTGCCCCATACACGTCAGGTTCAGCAGGGGCTGTTATTGGTTTACGCAGACCTTTGTTGCGATTTGCACACACCCCTGAATGAACACGGAACGACGGATAGACAGGCGTCGACCAGCATGAGCTGTTTACGACAGCAAGTGTCCACCAGTCCGTACGTGGTACCTTTGTTACTTTATTAATCCCACAGGTGGGTGCGGGAAGCAACGGGCCGAGGATCGGCTTGCCGAGGCACAGTGAAAAGAAAGTGTGGCCCCAGCGCACTTGGGACTTCCGAGTCGGAGCCTAGCGCCTATTTGACACTGAGCGTGGTCGATGGCAGCAGTGAAACATAACTCAGGGATGCTCACAACCTCGAGACAGATATGCATGGATTGCCACTCGGGCCAAGTGCAGCGGTAGAAGTGTTACTTGATCAGGTGATATGCTGCTTATCAGTGACCAGTACAAACGAAGCAAACAGTCTCGGCCAACTTCAGGGTCAAGGCACTGCCACTAGTATGTAGGTAGTTGCCCAGTCTGGCGCACAGTCCTGCCTGCCTCGAGCAATAGTAATAAACTTGCATACCCGGTGAACTTACAACCACAAAGGGTGTGTCACACACGCAGGTGACCAAGACTCATGAATGCATGAAGACGGGTTGTAATTCACATGGGGTGAAGGCCGCCAGACCGGTATGTATGGTATGGAAACATCGAATGACGTTGACGACTACTGCAGTCGGACCTGACAAGGCACACAATGCATTATGACGGTCAAAGGTCATTACTGTCTCATTTCATCATGATGAACAGCTCGCTCAGATCAGCTGGAAGGGTCAAAAAGTTTACCGTGACGATTGATTAAGGCCATCCATTTTGAAGCCGAAGTTCCCACAGACAGAATTGAAGCTATTCATGTAACTGACGAGTAGTACTGCCGACCCCATCTTCTCATCCTGGACAATAGCGACTCAGTATTAAGCAAAGGCGGGGATGAAGTCTGGAGGAGGACCTGAGGCCTGAGGCCAGCAGAGGAACACCCCATGGGCACATGGGCCTTAGTCAGCCCCCCACAATGCCAGGGGCTCTACACTTAATTACACTTTCTCACATTTCACTTGCCTGTTGCCTCTCGCCTTTCTTGCCACCACATTCCAGTCTACGATGATCAGCCTCCCACTTCTTTTGCAGTCTGTTGATGTACTATCACCACATGGTTTTATTAACCAAACATAGACAAGGCACGGAAAAACCGGTCTATAGATGCAGCCCTTCTGAGATGAGACAGGTCTGAAAGAACTAGTTGACTTGGCCACCGACCATTGCAGGGTTCGACCGGAGCCGGGAGTCCCCGAAAATCCCCGATTCTTGGCACGGTGATCACGGTCAATGACAGGCGTGTAAGCGAAGCGAAGCATGCAATTGACTTTTGTTCGCTGAACGCGCTGCTAGCGGGAGAGAAAACGAGCAGAAGTTGGAGACTACGATAGGTAGGGAGGCCTGATAACTCGGCTAAGGTGAACAGCAATAACCGTCCTGCCGAAGCGAGGGTGCATGAGGTTAGCTAGGGCGGGTGGTCGTGGTCTCAGAAGGCCTCATGACCGTCGTTCCGCTGGAATTTTGATCGAGTAAAGGAATTGCCTAAACGGGCCAGAATTGGAGATTTGATCGAGTAACAGCGGTGAGGAGGCAATCACTTGCAGCAGCCAGCAGGAGAGGTCCGATGGCGGATGCCGGAGGCGCCCGATACCCCGACCCATGGTTCTAACTGGCCCAGGAGATAAGCCGGAAATTCTCTTCACTTTCCCCACGAGGGAATACGTCCCGAAGAGGCAACAATGAGGGTGTACAGACAAGGTGGTCGTCTAGTGGAAAAGGCATCCTCCCGCTTGGAAAGGAGGGGAGGAAGCAGGAGAGGAGATGGTCAAATATAACCTCCGGCTATCGATATCACGATAAGGATAGTTACCGGGGCAGGCAGTCACAGACAAACAGGTCAGGCGTGAAGAAAGAATGGGCAAGGAAAAAAAAAAAGACGCTTGGATGGCAAGCCGGTGGACCCGTCAAAGGGGGTGGAGCCAGGTTTTTGTTACTCGATGGGATTATTTGGTTCGATCGCCGTGGGTCTCCAGGGAACAATGGCGGCTTATCTGCGCAGACATTTAAAGCCCTTATCGCAGCCAGCAATTCGTCCTCTCGCCTTCTTCACCCTTATCAAGTCATTCATCCCTTGCCTTTTGACGCCGGTGGAGCTTTTCCGGATCAGTCTATCGCTTATCTCGTCTTTGCCTCTTTAACTTTTTATCGCCCATCCTGGCTCTGATTGCTCTGCAGCTTCATCGTTCTTTGCATCTCTGGCTTCTCTTAGCGCGCAATCCTTCCACGCGATCACCCTCACCATGGAGGCTTCTCAGATCCCATCCATTGCAGTGATCGCCTCGTCGCGCGCCGTCATCTCCGGCCGTTTGACATCAGCCACTATTGTCATCTCTCGCACCACCGGCAAGATCACGGCTGTCTTTGATTCGGTGATCCCGGCTTCTGATTTCCCTGCTGGCACCCCCTATACTGATTATTCCCCCCACGTTCTGCTCCCCGGTCTGGTTGACGCCCATGTCCACCTGAACGAGCCGGGCCGCACCGAATGGGAGGGCTTCTACACCGGCACCCAGGCGGCCGCTTTTGGCGGTGTCACCACGGTCATCGACATGCCCCTGAATGCTATCCCTCCCACCACCACGGTGGCCAACTTCAAGGAGAAACTCCGTGCTGCCCAAGGGAAGTGCTGGGTTGATGTCGGTTTTTATGGCGGCATCATCCCCGGCAATGCCGGCGACTTGAAAGCCCTTGTCCAGGAGGGTGTTCGCGGCTTCAAGGGCTTCCTCATTGACAGCGGAGTAAGTCACGAGTTGTCTTTTTGCAAGGGACGTAAGTGTGCTGACACATGGCTGTAGGTCGACGAATTCCCCGCCGTGTCTTCCGAAGACATCCGTAAGGCCATGGCTGAACTAGCGGATGAGCCTACGACGCTCATGTTCCACGCCGAGATGCTGCCGCCCTCCACTGCAGCCGAGGAGAAGGACCAAGCTCTCGAAGGTCCCGCAGAGGCGTATTCGACTTTCCTCGCATCCCGTCCGTCGGCCTTCGAAACTTGTGCCGTGGAGGAGATCATTACCCTGTCTCAGGTGGCCCCCAAGCTCCCCCTCCACATTGTTCACCTGTCTGCCATGGAAGCCATCCCTCTGTTGCGCAAAGCTCGCGCGGATGGCGTCCCTATCACTGCGGAGACCTGCTTCCACTACCTGTCCTTAGCGGCCGAGGAGATCCGGGATGGAGACACCCGCCACAAGTGTTGTCCGCCCATCCGTTCCCAGTCAAACCAGGACGCTCTTTGGGATGAGTTGGAGCGCCATGCGGAAGATGGCGTGATTCAGACTGTTGTCTCAGACCACTCCCCCTGCACCCCTGATCTCAAGCTCCTACCATCGCACGTGCCTGGCTGCTGCCCATCAGACGGGGACAGCACTCAAGTTGACAATGAGGGTAGCTTCCTTTCCGCCTGGGGCGGTATCTCCTCAGTGGGCCTCGGCCTTCCCATCCTGTGGACGGAGCTTAGCCGTCGCAAGGCTTTGAAAGCTGCAGACGAAACCACGACCCAACAGGCCCTGCAGGACGTTGTACGACTCTGCTGCACCAACACGGCCGTCCAGGTTGGCCTGCAGCACCAAAAGGGCGACCTGGTTCCCGGCCACGACGCCGACATTTGTGTCTTCGATGACACCGCGGAATGGATCGTCGAACCCAGCACCATGCTCTTCCGCAACAAGTGCTCACCGTACCAGGGCCGCAAGCTTCGTGGAATGGTCCGCGAGACCTGGCTGCGTGGCGAGAAGATCTTCAGTCGCGACGATGGCTTCAGCACCAAGACGCCCTCCGGCGGCCTGCTTCTCGAGAAGCGTGCTTGTTAAGACCTCTCATCTCTCCTACCTGTCCCGAGTCACTCATCATCACCCTTTAGGACTGTTGACAGCCCAACAAGCGGATGATTCGACATCTCCTCGACACAATCACCTCTTTTCTGCCGCAAGCATCCTTATCATCTCATATACACACGCACACACGACCTGGCATGATACCCGCAACCTGATGATTTACTAATAATGAGCATTCGCAGCATATACATCAGCGCATAGACTAGTATCCCATAAGCGACGGTGTAGACATTCAGTTACTTATGCACCTCGATAGACACGAATATATCATCATCTTACTGGAACTCTTTCTCTTCTCTCATTCATCAAATTGTAGCTGTAGCTTAGTATAGTAGTATAGTATAGCGTAACAAAGAATAGTAGTAGCATGTAAACATCAGTAATAGTATAGTAAAACGATGATCAACAACACACCTCGCCACTCGCCCCCCGATCGATGAAGAAATTTGCCAAAATCATCACAAACCGATAAATTTGTAGATAAGTTAGTTAGTCAGTAACAGAGTTAACGAAATCATGACAGATAGACTGACTGAAACCCCGATGATTCTTTCGCCTTCACCGCCACCACCTGCATTCCCGAACCCGCCGAACCCCGCGTCCATCCCTTCTTCCAACTATTCTTACTAACTCCCTCCCCGCACGTGCACACCCCCGTCTGGTTTTCTCGGACCTCGGAGTTACTGAGACGGACCAGGATTATTCCACAGATCGTGGGGATCAAAACTAGTGACTACTTACTCGACTACTCAGGTTTTATTGTGCTAATTACTTCAAAAAGATTTGTCTTCTTCCCCCTTTTCTGCATTTTCGTCTCTTGAAACACATATCTCCATACTGCCTGTTAACTAACCTTTTAGGTGGTTTTTATTGAGAGAGAGCTGGAAGGGGGTGTTTACTAATGAAACATTCTCCTAAAGAAGGGATAGAACGGAAATGGGTGAAAGATGAAAATATTTCATTTCATTATAATGGCATCGCCTAGGTCCGAGCGAGAAACAAAGGCCAAAGCAGGGGGATCTGAATCATATCAAGAAGAAGCGGTGAAAGGAAAACAGACATGATGACAAGAAAGACAAGAACAGAACATGCTTTCGCAAAACGCCGAATGAAGGCCTACGCCATGCTACGGATCCCGCTCAATGAAGAAACCAACAGAATGAACTAACATGACATGAAAAGAGGTTTTAGTTTTTGATGATAATTGATGGAATCATAGGTTGAGAGGTTGCTCTCGTCCATCCTCGGCTGAAAGCCAAGACGACTATTTCGTCTTTTTCACCTCCTCTACCGCAATGTCCCCGCTCTGAGCGCTGACAGAACCGTCAAGCGAAACCACGTCTTCGTCGGGGTCGATTTCGTTCCGGGCACGTTGACGACCGCGCTCTTGCATCGAGACATGAATCCGACGATTGACTTCTCCGAGATCGTCCTTGGATTTGATGGAGAGGGGCTTAAGAAGCGTGTCGTACAAGTGGAAACCGGCGCTTCGGGATCGGCTCCGGCTGGTTCGGTCTTTGCTGCGGTTGCGACTTTCTGGCTCGCTGGGGGGCATGCTCTTAAGACGGGATTGGTAGGTGTCGTCCTCGGGGTGTTCGTGCGGGATAAGCTTCTCCGATTCGAAGTCAGGGAAGATTTCAGGGGCGAAGGTGTCAATTACGTCGACTACTCGTGCAGAAAGGGCCTGGCGTTCAGCGCGGAGTTTGGCGAGCGAGTTGGCAGATCTTGGGTCGAGGGCCCGCAGAAGAGGAGGTAGGGATTTGAGAACGTCGATACCGATCTCGCCGATACGGAGACCCGCAAATGAGACCGAAATCATGAGACCGAAGAAGAAGATCGAGAAAAGCGCAAGAGGAATAGAGTCGGAGATGTAAGTCCTGGCGTTCAGCCACCACGGGACTACAGATGCGTAGTGTCCGTCATGGCGGCAGTAATGGAGCCAGATGGTCACAATTACGGTATACCAGGTATAGAGGGCTGGTGCCAATCCCATGGCTACCAGGATCTTCCAGGTTCCAACGACGTCGCGACCTTCAAGCTTGACAACGGAACCGGCAAGAGCCTTTCGCTGCTTCTTGACCGATACAACCTTGGCGGTCACAAAGACTGGCCAAAAAAGCGCCACCGATGGCAAGGTTCCGATCGCAAGCGTGAGCAGCTCTCCCACACGGTATAACAAGGTACCAAAAACGAGCCACCACGGCCGATGGGTCACGTCACCCCATTCAACCTGATGATCCCGAATTCCGAGGGCTCGAAGACGGCGATTATAGTCGGAGATGGCCTTCTTCAACTGGAGCACTTTAGGTTCATCTTTAAATTGGGTGTAGCCTTTGAGAAGTCGTCGATTCAGTTCTATCACAACGGGCAGAGGGAGCTTCATTCGCAATGGCTTATACAGTCGTCGGGTGGCTTGGATGACCATTAGCGTCTCGTGGTCGGGCGCTTGCTGGGTTACTGCAGTGAGTGCTTCCGTGATTGTTTCCAACAGAGATCCCACGGCGTTCCGCTTCGAGTTTCCACCAGCCTTGAAGGCCTCAATCTGATCCGGGTGCACTTGCACAGGGTTACCGAATTCAACGACGGCACGAGAACGGAATTTGTTCGGATGGAAGTAATTCATGCCGCATGGGATAATGGAGAGACCACAGTTGGGGTCCTGCGCGAGGGTTCCGAGGGCGATAATGGCAACACCGGCCTTCAAGGGCAACAAGCTGGGACGATCATGACTTCCGCCCTCCGGGAAGATACCGATACAACCACCTGCGACCAGTTCAGAATACACGGAGGCGAACATCTTGCTCTGATCAATGTGAGGAGCAGCCTTGAACGGGGTACCCTTGCGCAATGGCTCGTAGAGGGGATGGTCCTTCTCGAATTTCTTGAATGGTTTCCGCAGACGAATTTCCTCGGGGCTCAAGATCTCCTCAATAGCCTGTTGTTCCGGACTCGTTTTGCCCACACGCGGGAGAATGATGGCGCCGCCCACCATGAATTGATCGGAAGTGAAATCGGTTCCCCTGCCACGGACTAGGGTCGGATCATTGTCAGGATCGGGGAGGTAGATTTCACCCTTGGCGGGTTTGACATGGTCCATCGATCGCACGACGGGAAGAGCGCCCATGCACCCGGCCATGGTGCCGATGTACGGCTCGCGCATGGACTTCTCGGCGATCAAAAACGAGGTTCTGCGACCGGCATAGTGTTTCAAGATGCGCATCAACAGAATGGAATCTACAAACTGATTTGCATGAGGGGCGGCGACAATGATGACAGGGCCGCGTTTGGGAATCCGCCATGCGCCGCGCGAGTAGACCTCGCGGAAGAAGATGTCCAGACAGAGGGTGAAAATCCACACTCCGAGGTCGTACAACCACGGGATCATAAATCTGCGCGCCATGACTGCGTCTGTAATTTCACACTAATGCTAGGTAGTGGTGCACAACAGGAAAAAGGGCGAGGATAGTAGTAGAAGTCGAAAGGGGAAGGATGATATGAGATGATATGTGTTGTTCTCAACTCATGACCGCGGGGGATTTAATTGCCCAGTGACGTGAGGCAACAGGCGGAGTTTCTTAAGGCGGACAGCAAAAACAACGGTAGCAGAAGCAAAGCGCGTAAAGGGAACAAAAAAAGCCGGGGAAAAGGCAGAGCAATAAGAACCGTCCTTTTTTTTTTCGCAGGGGTTCTCCGCCTGAGGGGGGGGTTGGTTCCCTTGATCCGTGGCTCAGGTGCTACCGCAGCTTGCCAGATAAAATGTCGCAGCAATTATCCAGCTTCACCGGCAAAGAAGCTTCGCGAAGAAGCAGAAAATGTTTCAGTAGGAAAAGTAGTGAGCAAAGAATGATGATGTTCGGTGTCCACCCAGACTAGACTAGGCCCTCCTCGGAGAAACCCAAACGGGTCTGAGCTAATCGCTTCAGGAGAGTTACTCCGCCGCAGTATCGCTTGGGTAATGAGGTGTACGGCCACCTGTTGGGATCTCAACAGCGCCCAGAACAGTTGGGAATGAGATAGTCAGGGAATACAGCTGTCTTGATAGGCACTGATTGACCAGGATGTGCAAGATTCTAGAGCTTTGCCATAAAGGAGTACCAATCAAAGCATCGGGCTTGCTGGTCGATGAATCATGGGATGCGCGCGGGGTTCTCGGATGCGCGTGGCGGTCACGTGGTATATCGCCGTTGCGGGTAACCGGACTTGGTCTAGCGTGTCGTTGGCCCATGTTTTTACGGTATGGTAATTCTACTGCGGTAGGTTACCCCGGGGAGTTGGCAGTCTGGATGTATCAGGTCGAGATGAGTCGAGCTCATCATTTCAGGTGTAGGTCCTTCGGCATGGAATAAATTCGATTCTCACAGTCACTGTTCCCTGGTAGCAGAAGAAAAAGCTTGTGGGAGAATGGGGCAAGTAATGTCCCTTGTTAACCATCTCAAATGCAATGGACGGCTTCAGTCCCAACTCTCATGGCATGGGCTAGCGGAACGCCCACCGCACCGAGCTTCAGATCCGATCGGAACCCGGGGGACGCCTGGAGGGTCGGTTGCCATGACCGAAGATGTCGAGTCCAATTGCCAATAGTCAGACTGATCCTTCCATCAAGTGGTAGAGAAGCGGGAGGTGGGGAATCTCAGGTGGGGAAGAAATGGGGTGTCCCTTGGCGGATTCGAATGGTATTCAAGACGATAGGATCATCACCAACAATATGAAGGCAGAGTTGAAGTTCAAAGATTTCAATAAAGTGTAGGTTAAGAGCATTAGGCATGGAAGAGTACATGACATATCCCCGCATAGAAGGCCGAATTCTCCGCAATTTTCCCACTCTGATTGGAGTGGGGGATGCAAGGCGCGCGAGTCAGCCGCAAGGACAGCAAACAAGTGAATCTAACGTAGTGATACTATAGCCTTTCCCACTTGCTCAGTTTCGCGAAGAGCCAGTATATAAAGGCACAGTTGATTAGAATAGACGAGCTCATAGACAGACACTTAGACTGACCGATAACATGTCGCCCACCAAGGACGAGATCCCCTTCGACGACGATGTGCCCATCTTGATCGTCGGGGCCGGCCCATGTGGCCTACTCCTTGCGTATTTGCTCGCCCAACTTGGAGGTGCGGATACTCAACAATATAGGGAACTGGTCACGAGAGAAACGAGACCGATGCTGGACAGAATCACTGACAGTCTTCTACTTACCTTTAGTCCGATCTCTGCTGTGTGAACGCTACCCCACCAGACTACAGGCGCCAAAGGCACATGCACTATCGCCCAGAACACTCGAGCTATGTCGGCAATACGGCCTGGATGTGAACGAGATTCGCAGCATCGGAACCAAACGCGGAGAGGCGTTTTGGGTGAATTTTATTACTAGTTTGAGTGGCAGGCATGTCGGAAGGCTCCCGTATGAGCGCATGGATCCAGCAGTTCTGGAAAGCACGCCGACGGTATGAGAAATTTATGAAAGTCTCGAAAACTGAGGTTGATACTTATGTTAGAGATAGATGATTCACAATATTCCACAGCCAGAATTTGAGGAGCTGGTCGCTAAGCGGTTATCCAAGAACAATTTAGTGGAGATACGCAAGAACCATTCATTCGTCCGGCTTGTTGATGTAAGTTTCAGTGGATCATATTAATGACCTAAAACTTTGGCTGACGATTGATAAAGCGTGGTGATCATGTATTAGCCACTATCGAGGATCGTGCGACAAAGCAAGAGTACACTGTGAAATGCTGCCATCTCGTGGCATGCGATGGGGCAAAAAGTGCAGTCCGGAGATGTTTGGGAATAGAGAGCGAGGGCGAGGACTCTTGTAAGTGGTCAAGACAACACGATCAATGGTTTGAGGCTAAACACTTCTTAGATGAGACCATGATGACAATCCACATCAATGCCAATCTACATCCTGTGGTCAAAGAGCGAGTGGGTATGTTGCACTGGGTGATGGACCCTGAAGTATCTGGATTCATTATCGGATACGATTTGGGAGGGAACCAAGTCTTGATCTGTAATTTTGATGTGAGTTCACCAGGCTTGGAAATATCGAAGTCCTGCTTGCTTGTTTGCATGAATAAATAGTCCCCAGCTAACTTCCATGTAGGCCGAGAAGCACCCAGTTGAAACATGGGACGAAGCACTTTGTCGCAAGGTTGTCGACGCAGCTATCGGTACAAAGATCCCATACGACGTCCTGAGTTACCGACCATGGATCTTGAGCAGGAAAGTCGCACTTTCCTACCGAGCAAACCGTGTATTGCTGTTAGTAGTATTGCACCTCAGTCTCCGCCAGTACGTGCTAACATAATATTGCACAGAGCCGGAGATGCTGCCCATTCCTTCCCACCTACTGGAGGATTGGGACTGAACAGTGGTCTAGGGGATGTCCATAATCTCGCATACAAGCTCGCAGCTGTGCATCATGGATGGGGTGGTGACAGGCTTTTGGACAGCTATGAAGCTGATCGGCGACCAGTTGCCTGTGATAACGCTGAGCAGAGCGTCAAGAACGGGAAACAAATATTTGGTCTTTTGAAAGCGCTCGGGACTACCGATCCTGACGTTCGAGTTGCGAGACAAAACTTATACCGCAACATTGAAGACTCACATATGATGAAAGAGATCAACAAAGGCATTGAAGGTCAGCGTGAGCACTTTGACAACCTTGGTCTTCATGTGGGCTACGTCTACGGTAACCATAGGCGCCCAGACTGTGCGTCAACATACGAGCCCGTTTGCACTCCTGGAGCCCGCCTTCCGCACGCGTGGATCAATTTGTTGACCCCAGAGCAGATACGGCTTCCCCCAATTGATTGTTCCTATGTATCTGAGTTTCTTCCCGAGGAGCTAAAACTGAAACAATTCTCCACGCTAGATCTGTGTGCCTTTGACGCCTTCACACTCATTGTGGACATTAGATCAGCAGATCATTGGGGAAAAATCCTCGAAGAAGTGAAACGGCAACTCTCCGGCAAGTGTGATGGGCTAAAAATCGAGATGATGACCAGAGGGGCAAACTTTGACCTTCAGCCCGGGGGTGGCGACAAGTGGATGGCGCTGACGAGAGTAGCGGAGGGCCAGGCAATTCTAGTCCGTCCCGACCAACATGTCTTAGCGCGATTCGAATATCCGGGGGAATCTAGTGGGGTACTGGGGGAATTGAGGGCGCATCTGGCGTGGGATGAGGGAGCAGGTGGTTCGGGGTAGATGGATCAACGGACAGACGGAGTTATGCAGAGCCGTCGGGATATCCGGGAGGGTGGGCTGATGCACGTCTGAGGGTGAGGGAGGCTGTGGTTTTGGATAGTAGATAATATAATATCACTCTGCAGAGAAGTCTAGTATATCCGACGGATAGAGAATCGACAACCGTTTGCATTGATCGCCCATATGGAAGATAAAGTGAAGAGAGAGACCGGCAATGGCAAGGCAAAGTGTGGAGGAAAGCAGTACCGGATAAGAAAACAGCCGCTCTCCACCACCCACGGTGGGGATTTGTGTGGAGAAAGCGTGGGGAGTGACGCCACGGGGAAAAGAATCCCAAGAAGTACGGAAAGCAGATGCCGATCGCAGTCTCACTACACGTTCAGCTATAATAACTACGCGGCGCTGCCTGCTTCCTATTACCCCTCCCCCTCATTGTCTCTCTTTTCTCATTCTCCCCGTTGTCTCCTCCCTGCAACACTGGCTGACTCCCTCTCTGCCTTGTTGCAATTCGCCCATCATGTCCCACTCCGCCGCTGAACTGCAAAAGCCCACGGGCGAGTACCGCCAATACTTGCCCGACCTGAGTTTGAAGCGCTTCCAGGTGATGCGCAATCAGGATGCCCATGAATACGCCCATGATTTCAAGACACTGAAGAACCCTCCGTGGCTGCATGCGCTGTACATGCACTGGGTTGATCTGCTGCAGGAACCCTTCAAGGGTGTGACCACTGATGGTATGTTCTTTTTCCCGATGAACCCACCCCGCACCGCCATTTTGGAAGGCCAATGCTGATCAATTCTTAAAGGAAACGTTCGCCCTGGCTTGTTCACGCTCCAAGATGAAGGTGTGCCTGTTGGCGACATCGTTGATTCCGTCCAGAATGTCCTATCCCTTGCCGACGACAAGCAGCGCCAGGCGCTGTCCTACCACATTGACTCCCCCGAATGGCGGACCTGGTCCAACCCCGAATTTCTTCTAGCTCACAAGGGTCTGCGCCTCGACGAGATTGACAACAAGCTGCGCGATGCCATCATGAATGTCCTGAAGACCTCCCTGTCGCCTGAGGGCTACGACAAGGCAGTCAAGGCGATGCGCATCAACCACTTCCTCGGCGAACTCGTGGAATCTCCCAAGGTGATGAACGAGTTCTCCTACAACTTTGTCCTTTTCGGTCGTCCCTCGACCACTCGGCCATGGGGCTGGTCCTTTTATGGCCACCACCTTTGCCTCAACATTTTCCTGTACAAGAACCAGATTGTCGCCTCCCCGTGGTTCACCGGCGCCGAGCCCAATGAGATTGACGATGGCCCGTACTCGGGTACCCGTATCATGCAGGTCGAAGAAGAGCTTGGCCTCCGCCTGATGCAATCCTTGACCCCTGACCTTCAGCAAAAGGCCCGCGTATTCGCAGAGATGCACGATCCCGCCATGCCCCCGGGCCGCTGGAACCGCGATGACCAGCGCCACCTGTGCGGAGCTTACCGGGACAACCGTGTCGTCCCTAACGAGGGTATCACCGTCGACGGATTCACGGAGGAACAGAAGAAATACATGTACGGCATCTTCGAGCAATACCTGTTGTACCTCCCTGCTCGGGCCCGTCAGATGAAGCTGGACCAGATTCGCCAATATGAGTCGGAGACTTACTTCTGCTGGATTGGTGGCTATGGCGACAGCGACCCCTTCTACTACCGCCTCCAGAGCCCCGTGGTTCTGATCGAATTCGACCACCACTCCGGTGTCTTCCTCAACAACGAGGAGCCGAAGAAGTTCCACATCCACACTTTGTTGCGTACGCCGAATGCCGGAGATTACGGTCAGGCTCTGCGTGCCCAGATCCCCGCCGTGGAGGGACTTAATGGGAAGGAGATCGTGTGGGAGAAGTCCGCTCTGTGATGCCGGACACGTGTCAATATATGATGATGTTATGTGAATAGAGTGTTATATAGCGTACATACATATGGAATCCATGATATCCTCCAGGATGGCTATGAAGCTGTGGCCATCCTGACAAACCAATTCTTGAGCAGTAAAATCTAGATATTCCGCCTTAGGCGATAAGCTCGTCCGAAGAAGCAACTCGGACCAATGGATCAATTATATATCCGGCATTCATCGGCATGGCCAATAAAAGGACAATAGCCGATGTCGGATCTCGTAAAGGAGCCGGATCAGGGAAGGAATGGAACGGCTTAAGAGGTTAGTAGTCTTTCTTCTTATAGTGACGAGCTTATCCCGCACGGTCCTCACTCACCCTGTCTATCTTAGCGCGTAGGTGCTTTGTAGCTATTTAGTATTGGGAAGACGTGAAGTAACAGCCTCCGCCTGACTATGTGATGATGCGAGATGGGGGCATTTAGTGCCTGAATCGAAACAGTTGAAACATCGCCTGTGTCTTTCTGGTTCAAGGTGGTGATGTTGTTGGCCTTGAAGATAACCCATCGTATAAGGACCTGGCAGGATAAGGCATCTACTGTGAATTGCACTTCATTGGGCCTTACAAGCATGAGTAGAAGCATAATTAAAGTATTTCACGATATATATTTCATGATTTTCCTAGGCATGTATTCGACTCGTTGAATTAATGGGTATCGGTGGACTTGGATGAGGGATAATTTGGTTGTGTGTATATCATCACGGGTATAGGAGGTAATACTACTAGCTTCATTTAGTGGCTACACTACTACTTACCTGGTGGGTCTATAGCAGTTCTGGGATAGCCAATTGCTTATTTTTCTGCTGCCTGCGAGAGAAAAACAAGCTGATTGACATGATACTAATATAATAGCACTATATAATTGGCATATTTGTTGTCGCCCGTAGTACTAGTAAGTTGTATGTGAATCGTTTCTGAAGAGGTTACCTAATAGTCTCCAAGCTAGAAGTATGTGGTGCCTCATACTAAGTAGGAATACTACCAGTTTACTGCAGTGCTCTGCTTTATCACACTCAAGTCGATTAGATGGTCTATCCGGAGATAACCTCTTCCGGCACCTAGAGACGACATCAATAATATCCGGCATTAATGCAGAAGTTGCAAGGATGTCCCGTAACGTGACCAGCGCCAACTCCCGAAAGCGACATCTTGCTTTATCATGCCCGCTAAACCGTAAATCCTCCTTAAACCGGATCTTCTTCGAGAAATGCAAGCAAGCAGGCAAGCAGGCATCACTCCTCTCGGTGCCGAGTTGGACCATGTAGTGGCTGACCCTGCTGCTCTAGTGGCCTGTCACTCGTTTCCATGTCTGGCTGCCTCGTCAATTATGCACCAGTCGGGCAATCCTGGGGGTTCAGATACGCATCTGTTTTCTTGAGAGAGTGCTCCACTCACTATTCCCGTCAGTTCTGGCCTTCCAGAAACGGTAGTCATAGACAATGAGCTTCGCTTGCAACATTCACCGCTTGATGTACCCTGTACGCAATTATCCTGACATAGAATGGGACCTTCATGATGCCGCTGCGGTTCGGGATCCCCCAAACTCAATCGGCGGTGGCACACTCGGTGACGCCGATGACCTCAAAGACTCTACAAACACCAGCTGGACTACGACAGGGATGTGGTGGCTGAGAGTTGAGCGGACGCGTGTATGCTGCATCTCCTGACAGATCCACTTCGTTTACGAGAGAGCTTTCATTGTTCCTGTGGGAATCCAAGCCCCGCAGCATCCGACTGGGCAAGACAAAGGCAATTGCGCTGCAGACAGGATTGCTATGCCCAGCTGAAGTCCCACTCTTCATCGGGATGAACATAGACCATTGAAATTTATGCATCAGGCCATGCTGTCGGCAGTGATTGTCATTTTTCTAGTTTGGGCCCTTGCACGGAAACTCTTTGATAGGTGAAAAGGGTGTGGAGGGAGATACCATGATTGGGCGCGGCAGACGGTATGCTGATTTCTTCCTTGACTTCATCTGTGATGATGAAGGCTTTCGCACATTATCATCCTGTCATCCTCGTGGACCGGATTGTTTACCCGCCGCCCGGATTTGGATACCGATTCGATGACATGACACGTCGACATAAAACACCAAATGCTCTTTCGCGGATCAGTTTGCGAATATAGTAGTATTTGCCTGTCGGAAAGGGCCGCCCCATCAAGCCGTGTCGGGCATGGCGCCATCCACCCAGGACCTATGAGGGCTGCAGGTGATACTGGGAGCTGACGAGTCCTCGACGGATTGACCTCACTGGAGAAAGTAAAGATAACCGCCAGAGAGGAGCATCAGTAAGGCAGCGCCAAATGAGGAGGAGAGATCGAGTTCTCATCAGCAGCGGCTCGACCCGCTGGTCGGCTCCAACCGCCTGGCGGATCTGGCTTCTGGGCGCTTCGATCCGAAAAGTTCCCCCATCCCACTGCACTTTTTCCTCGCTAATGGCTCATGATCGCTCTCATGGCTTCGAAAGCGGCTCGGACTATAGGTCTTGAGGGACAGGAGATGGTATCGCGTTGGGGAGGCTAATACGAATATAATTTGAAGCCTCCGATGTCGCCCCCGTGGTATAAACTTGTCGTCCCTCTCTCTATGGGCTCTTGCATCATTTGCCTCCCATACTACTGTTCCATCCTTCTTTCCTTCTTGAACCATTCTTCCGTTCCCTCTAGCTATCCTTAAAACCTCCTGCTGACCCCACTTTAAACGGGTAGCGGGCTACAGAATCTTTCTAGAAAAGATGGGCGAACTCCAGCACTATCCGGCCGATACACCCAACGTGCCTTTCGCACAACGTCCGATCATCATTTTGGGTGCGGGCATTATTGGCTGTGCCGCCGCGCGACAACTTCTACAAAACGGCTTTCCAGTCATCTTGGTCGCTGAATATCTACCTGGGGATCAGGATTTCCGATATGCATCCGCCTGGGCTGGAGCCGCATGGCATCCTGCGGGCGGAATCAGTCCGGAATGGAGATATCTTCAAGCCATCAGCCATCGTCAGTTGCTGAAAATGGCACAAGAAGAACCCGAATCTGGAGTCAGCATTGTCGATGCCCTGGAGTATGTCGAACGACCTCCTGCTGAAAACTCATCGGCATGGGGTAGGACTTTGGCTGCCAAGGTAAGACAGCTTGCATGAGCAGCAATAGACACCGATCAAAAGTTGACATGAGACCTAGTGGCGTGACCTGCAACCGGGTGAATATCCATCAGAATTCAGTTGTGGATGGTCGTACGAGACTCTCGTCACCGATCCCACCCTTCACATGCCGTATCTGGCCAAGAAGATCACCGCTCTAGGCGGCCAGTTCATTCGCAAGCGGGTAGAGTCTCTTGAAGACCTCTACGGCATGTTCCCCGAGTCCAGTATCTTCATAAACGCCAGCGGAATCGGAAGTCAAACCCTCAAGGACGTCCAAGATGACTTGTGCTTCCCGGAACGGGGGCAGAACGTGTTTTACAAGACGGAAAACTGTCGCACCATGTACTTCCGGAACGGCCAAGAGTACACATACGTTATTCCTCGACCCATGTCTCATGGCGTCATCCTAGGGGGAGTAAAGCAGGCTGACAACCTGTAAGGCCTGATCACGAACACCTTAGTACTTCAACCCTGGGGAGACACCGAATACTAACCCTATTACCACAGATCCTCCGAACCAGACATGGAAATCGCCCGAGATGAAATCGCACGCGCGCACCGTCTCGCTCCCGAGATCGTTCCTGAGCATCCACCCGAAGACACCCTCAGCTACATTGTCGGTATCCGACCCTCGAGGAAGGGTGGCTTCCGCTTAGACTCCGAGCAGCAGGGGAGCCGGTACATCCTCTCGGCGTATGGATTCGGTGGAGGCGGCTATGCCTTCTCGTACGGAGTGGCAGATGCATTGTGCAAGATGGTGGAAAAGGCGGAGCGAGAGAATGTGATCTGAGCCTCATGGTTGAGGCTAATGATACTATCATGGGAAAGAATGCTGGCCATTCAGCCCCGTGAATGTGACGTTGTCGTTCACGTGTAGTAGATTAATTAATCAGTGTTGAGAAGTCTCGTTGCAGATCTATTGGCTCTAAGGTCATTGATACATTGCAATAAAGTACTCACAACCAAAGTGAAGAGTCAGCAATAAAGCAACAATCGAACCATTTATACAAAAGCCCATTCCTGCCTCAGGCAATAATGCACACATACATGTGGTACTTGTACCGAAATAACCAATACTGACAAAACACCCCTCCTTCAACGCTGACAAATCTACTCCCTTGCCAAGTAACGTTAGATCACACTATCTGCGTCCTCTGATTGGAGAATCATCCTTCAAGATCCAGGGAACCAGTAATTAAGCGTGTCAGCAGGGTGCATTAGTGTCTGCCCTGCGCTTGGTCGGTCTCCGGACGGTGGAGATCGTATCTCCGGGGGAGTTGCAATGGTTCAGAGTGCTAGTGGTGATGTAAGTACTGTTGCTGTTGTTAACTAGATTGAGTGCTTATGCATGTGCTTATTATGTGAGCGTGCATACATATGTATCTTTATTCGTTGTACTACTTCAGTTGCTGTATGGGGAAGATATAACATAAAATAGATCACTCATGCATGTGTTGATTAATCACTAAAAGTGTACCTGACTCGACAAGCTCAATCTTAAGCTTAAGATATCAAAGATGATCGTAAACCATTAGTTTTCAATCCATTCATCACATCATCACTACTGACATACATCACACTACACACTTGCATCCCTACAAATACCTTATAATCATCTTCTCCCCCCTCTTCTGCCTCCACCGATTCGTACTCTTCAACAACTCCGGACACCCTCTCAACACCCACGGCCACTTCCTCAAAAACTGCTCCGTGACCTCCCAATTCGCCGGATCCGACGGCTCTCCCCACACCAGCAGACTACACGTGTCCGACGCATTATCCCAGAACCCCATCACATCATGACAAAGTTCATCATCATCAAACCGATCGATCATCAAGCACAAATTATCCCGGAGACGCGGCAACGGGAAAAAATCCAACCACGGATGATGCGGCACCTGCATCTGGATCTTTGTCGGACGCAGACTCACAGGCAATTTCTTTTCCTCAATAGCCTCCGGAGGTAAGGTGTTGAAGAGGGAGAGGGCATCGTCGTCATCACACCAGGTGGTTTGATTGCCGAAGCCGAGGACGGTCATGTTGGTCATGAAGGCGCGGAAGACGTTCAGTTTGCTCAGCGTGAGGAGGTGATCGGCTGAGGGAGAGCCGCGGAAGTAGCTTTCGTAGGCGACCCGGGCGAAGTGCTCGAATATCCGCCGGATGTTTTCCGGTTTGGAGGCTTCTCTGGTTAGGGTTCGGCGGGTGAGGGTCTGGGAGGGGTTGGAGTCTGAGGAGGGGGAGGAGGAGGAGGATGGTGGCGATGATGAGCTGCCTTGCTCAATCTTAATGTTGGTGCCTAGTGATGGTGGTGGTGGGTGGGATGAGGATGAACGTATGGCCAGGGCATTATTGCCGCTGCGTTCGGCTTGTTTCCGTTTCCCTGGGATTATGTAGTTAGTTGAGGTTGGATCATAGATGAGTAAACGGTGTGGAATGCTCTCACGGTATGCTCGTTGGTTCAGCCGATTCTGTCGTCGCCGGCGTTCCTGGCGGTCGCAGAGACCAGCCCAGTCATCTTCAGGGTCCACTTGAGCGGTAGAAGCAGCAGCAGCAGCAGTAACAGCGGGGGTCACCACGGGGAGTGGCGGTGGTGAGGAAGACCGGGTGGCTTTCTCCGTGCTGATGTCTTGATTAGTCGGCGACCGTAGCAAGTCCGATCCCATGTGAGTGTGTCTGAATTGGATGGATTCCTGTATTGAGAAGCAAGAGATGATGATAGTGACGACGGGGAGAGATGGTCGGAGAGGGAATGCCGCTATAACGGAGTAGGAAAAGGCAAGTCGAAATCCCGTGAGAAGAGCAGGTCCGCCAGAGCTTTTTAAGTCCAGCGCTGCGACGGTTTCGAATGGGTTTCAAGAACACTAACCGGAAGGGTAGTAGTGGCTGTTCATCATACGTCGGGTATGGTTTTGTAAATACTCGGAATACGATACACTCTTGGAAGTCCTCTCCTATAAGCTCACAAAAGTAGTACATTCATTCTGTGTCGCTGATAACCTAATTAGAATGTTGCTGTGGAAGAGGTATCCTCAGCAGTCAGTAGATGATGCCCTCCCTTACTATACATATCGAGTAGTATACACAAAAGCCACCCAAACGCTAACTATGCTGAATAACAAAAGCTAAGAGCTTCGAGATCCTGTCTCTTCTCCCCTGATGACTCGCTCAAGATGTGCTCGCTCTCCGCTGTTCTCCACCAGATTTCGAAACACACCTCCCTCAATTTCGAGCAACTCCTGCGGTGTGCCGAACTCCACGGCCTTTCCGGCGTCCATCACAAGGATTCGATCAAAATCCGCCACTGTGCTAAGTCGGTGCGCAATGACAAGAAGCGAGGTAGCATTGCGTCCAAATTCTTCTCGAATGGACCGCTGGATCAAGGCCTCAGTCTCCATATCCACTGCTGAGGTAGCCTCGTCCAAAATCATGATTTTTGGTTGGGACACTATGGCTCGCGCAAGGCAAAGTAATTGCCGTTGGCCTTGGGAGAGATTGAGCCCTCCCTGGGAGACGACTGATGACAATGACGCGAAAAAGTTGCTTGTTTTGACCGGTTCCGTACTCGAGTTCGCTGATGACGGCAATGTGCCGCTGTCGCTCAGTGGCTCGCTACTCGAGTGCGACGCCAGGGTCAATGTATCCTCGAACGAGACAAGATGTACCCGTTCTAGAGCGTTGTAGAGTTCCAGATCACTATACTCGTTGAATGGATCTAGATTGGACCGCAGTGTCCCCGAAAAGAGCACCGGGTCTTGAGGAATGATCGCAAGACGGCTGCGCAGTGCTTCCAGCTTGATTTGCGAAATATCCAGCCCATCAATCAGTACGCGCCCCTGTCGAGCTTCGAGAAAGCGGAACAATGCCAGGGTTAGCGATGATTTTCCAGCTCCGGTACGTCCGACGACGCCCACACGTTGGTTATTCTCCATCGTGAAGCTAAGCCCGTCAATCACCGGAGGCAGGTCGGGGGCGTAGCCGACAGCCAGATCCTCAACTTCGACCTTTCCACGCGTGGGCCATGCCGCTGGCGGGTTATGGCCCCCTTGCTCCTCGAGCTCAATGTTGCAGTACTCCAACACCCGCTCCGTAGCATTCATGTCTGTCTCCACATTTGCATAGAAGCGTAGGCCCATCGACACGGCATAATTATATTGTAGAGCAAATGTCATGGCGAAGCCTGCCAGTGCCGGAGAGATGCTAGGAACGTACACTACCAGGGCTGCTGTCATCCCGGCCAGCACGGCTCCCGCGATACTCATCCGAAATGATAGCCAGCGGTCCAGAAGCCAGAGATACCACGCGGCCTGAGCATGACGATCGATGCGATCGTACATGTCTTTCATATAGATTTCTGCTTTATTAAAAGCTCGAATCGTGGTCAGACCGGAAAGGCTGGACCCAAATCGTTCCAGGACAGGGCTCTTAGCGGTACTTTCCAGTCGTTTGATCTCACGCATTCCCGTAAGGTAGATCTTGGAGAGTCGAAAGCAGAGTACGAGGAGGATACAGGCAAGCACCAACAGTATTGGGGATACTAACACTCCTGCTGCTAGTATACTAGTCAGCTCCAAAGCCTTGAACACGAAGTGCCCGATATCATAACCGAGCCTCCAGTCAAGGATGTACATGTCAGATGTGAATCGGTTAAGGATCCGGCCGAGGGGCACCGTATCTAGCCACCGCAGCGGTGAGCGCAATACAGCTGCTAAAAGGTCATCGAAGAGTCGCTGTGAAGACTCCAGAGAAGCGAGGGCAAGGGCCAAAGTCCTTAGAGTTCCAATAATACATGCGGCTACCGAAAAGCAGACATATATGCTGAGATAGAACATGGAATCCTTGTCGACATAATGTCTTTTTGCAACAATTGTTCGGGATTGGGAGGCATCATATGAATGGGTCGGTTGTGACGAGGATGTGGATGAGTCTGTCCAGACGCTTATCCACCAAGACTAAGACTGGTCAATAGTGATCCGTGACTGGGAAGACTGGGCACTTACTCTTCCGACTAAAAGCACCATAAATGCGACATAAGCCAGAAACGTCATCATCCACCAGCGTAGGCATTTCCCCTTGGTGATATATGTCGTATACACTTGCATGGACACGGCTCCTTTCTCGCGCTTTTCGTCTTCGGTGAACTTCCTTGGGGGCTCAGCGACACTTGTTGCTACTGAGAAGCCTGACTCAGTAGAGACGCGCTTCATCGGAGTCATCGGTGACACAGGCTCTTCGTCTACTACATCAAACTTGCGACCATTTGATGACTTGGCAGATTCGCCCAACAAGTCTATTAAGTTCTGAGTGGCTGCCAATTCATCTACTGTCCCAGCATGAATCGTGAGCCCGTCCGACAGGATAACACAGTAGTCGGTCCGAGACAGACACAACCCAAGGTGATGTGTGACAAGGATCCTGGTCCTGCCTTGTCCTAACTTGCCGATAAGAGCATGCTCATACACGTGGCGCCCAGTCTCAGCGTCAAGTGCACTGAATATATCATCCATAACCAAGATTCCGGCACGGGAATAGAGAGCACGCGCAAATGAAATGCGCCAGCGCTGACCACCGCTCAAATTAATTCCATTTGCACCAATGTCGGTCCGATCGGAATCTGGAAACATTGCAATATCTTTCTTCAAGCCTGCGGCGTATATGACTTTGCGGTATCGATAGCGATCGTACGGAAGGCCGAAAAGGATATTGTCCTTTATGGTGGCGTTCTCCAACCAGGGGTTCTGAGCGACATATGCGATAGCCGAGTCAATGATCCAATTGTGGCGAGTGGCTCGCTGATCATATGTCTTGTTTATGGAAGGAGCATGAGGTACTGCCACGGTCCCAGACAAGACATCACATTCCCCAAGGATTGAGGCTAACAGGAGGCTCTTCCCCGAGCCAGTTTTCCCAGATATTACACTAAGGCCCTTGGGAGGGAATTGCAAGGTGAGGTCTCGGAGCAGAAAGCGCTGGTCAAACTCTACCCCTTCTTCCCCAGGCCATGCGATCGTTGCATTGTGGAAGGAAATCTTGTCGACAGCGGACGTATGGAGAGACTTTTCAGACGAGTCCAGATATCGTTCAATGCGATCCGCGCTAATTTTAGCCTCCATTCCCTTCGAGAGTAAATCAGGCAAGCTTGCCATGGCCGATTCTAAGGAGCCGAATATGGAAAGGGTCGTAAACGCAACGGAGGCAGATAGCTCCCCCCGAGTCAGAGTATATACTGTCAATGAGACGGCAGACAGCATCAGAGGTCCCATAATCCACACAGACACCATGCCAATAGTATACAGGGAGGTTTGCCAGAGGAGCCCTAATTCGGCGCGGCGCTTCTCCTTAATGCGGTCCTGCCATTGCTGCTCCAATGCTGCAAACTTGATTTGGCGGATTCCATGAAGAACCTCTCCCACGGCTCCCATTCGTTTGTCGCTTGCCTTCATGTATTCTTCTTGTGCCGTGGAGTAGTTCTTCGTCAAATAGGCGTTCATAGGAGCCACCAGAAGAGCAGTTGCGACACCGGCCAATAGGCTCGGCCATCCTATAAGATGGACTAGGAAGACACCTCCTATAAGCAGTCGAATGACAGATGAGGGAATCAAGTAGCTGAACATGACAAAATCTGCAATGCGTTTCGAGTCCACCGAGGCAAGATTGATAGGACTTTGGCTGACGACATCCTGCTGCATTTTGTCTGCATCGTGGTCATCCCCCTCCTTTTCCTCTAGCGATACAAGCTGCTTGATATCCTTACACCTCATTGACTTGGCAAACACGAGCGCTGAAAGGCCTTCATAAATGGGGATCCAAAGCTTTGCATATATAATCCACCAAAGCCACGATTCGATGCTGGACGAGAGAATAAGAACTGTTCCCAGCCCGAACACCCAGGCCCATGCCTCATTAGCATCCTTTGGATTCAGGTCAGGGTTGGAATAGCGATTCTCGAGTGATGTCAATATCCCATACATTGCTGCTTGGGGGCCGAAACTTAGCACACAGATAATCATGCTAAGCGATGACTGAAGGATGAGTGAGTTTTGGTGTGCCACCACGAGGGACCTCCAGAGTGCTCGCGAACCACGCATACGATCTAGGTGTGTATGAAGAGTTTCCGAACGTGTATTAAACGGCATCTTGGGGAGATCGTCGATCTCCAAACCTTCATTGGCGACCGCATGGTTCAATAGATTGTCGACCCAGCTGAAGGTGAACCGTTCCATAGCACTCACGGTACGCTCTCGGTCGACAATCTGGCCATCATGGTACACGTCCGGGCGTCGGGGAAGTAGAAGACAGAGGGTAGCCCTGAAGCAGGATATCCCGAATTGGCTTATTGTCAATCCCACCGACACGGTATCTAGGCGATACCCAGTGTTCCAGACCAAACCAATCTCCAAGCAGGGGATAATGGCGGCGAGTAAGCTAGCCCCGAATCCATATACTCCTAGCATGTACCGCTTGGTGGGTGCTGGCTCAATGAAGAAACCAGTCGCTTGTACGCATAGGATACCCTATAATTGAACCGTCCGTTAGAAACTAAGCCGGAACAAATATGCAGCTGTCGGACTTACCCAGCTACCCATTTGTAGACCAAAGGGAACAATCATGAGATGTTGGCCCTTTGTTATGGATATGACAACCTGTGTCAATGATATCCCAAGCCCAGTGATTGATAGAATGATTATGCCGAGTCTCTGCCAAAGATCTGAAAAACCTTTCAATGCCTCATCGCTAGCCTCCCCATCCTTATCCTCATAGCCAGGTCTGTCGAAAGCATGTGCTCCAGGCAAATGGATCGGGGGTGTCTCTTTGACATGCAGGAATCGTCGGATTATGCCGAGTAGTGCAGGGACAGTACAGCCTGAAATGAGTAGAATGCCTAAAGCGCCTGTAGCAATAGACGCCATGTCCTGGTTTGATGCCATCCTACATGGAGGCTGAACCGCATCCGCTGCTGTAGACTGGAGAACTGATAGTGTCGAAATAAGTTGAAGATGCTAAAAGCCTAACTCGGCATTAGTTCTGAGAGATGTTTTGCTCCCACGCGTAACTGTAGAGCCTGCATTCCACCTGCATTCTTATTGCGTGCCTTGCATCAAGGGGGAGCGGCCACGATCGCGTATCAACACCACGGGTGAGAAAGATACAGAAGGGCAGCTCCTACTTATAATACGCCTAATGACTGTATTCTTCACAGGTTAGTGTGGCATTACTGCGACAAGATACGGATATAATTGGAATATTCAGTAGTATCCAGGAGTACAGTGTAACAGTCGACCAATCCATCTGACCACAGTGAGGATGACTCGGTCATTCTCTGACCGATATCGCATGATTGCTAGAAGCTTTGGTGTGACCCTGGCGGGGATGAGAAGCCTGATCGCAAAGACGGCAATAATTTGATAATAGCCGGTGTGTTGAGGATGAAGCATACTAATAAGCTTTGTATAGATGGTCCACCCAATTCGGTAAGGTGCACGAAGTATTTGGCCGAGTGGCCGCACTGCATTAATATTCTGCCGCTACAATGAGCGGTCAGAAGGGCGGTAAAGAGAGACCCAGGATGCTCTCGCAGGGCAAACTCAATGGGCATGCAGTGCAGCTTCGGGATCGGCAAAACCTGAAAGCGACTGCGCTAGTCCTGTCTAGGGTAGCTCTCTGGAGGCCAGCAAGTCACGGGGAGCACCCGCTATTATTCAGCGGGGCCGAGATGCTGATTTGCTGACAATCCATGGCAGTACATTGGGCGGCGCGGAGTCGCTGTCCAACTCCGGCCCCGACTTCGCTGCGGAGGACCCCGGCCCATTTTTGCTACTGGAGTCACTTTCCTCGGTCTAGTCTACTTAATCTCTTCCTCTTGTTGTGGCCAAGGGTTCTGTCTGAAGGTCTCTGTGTCTGAACGCATTCACCCCGCCGCTGCACCCTTCCCTGTCCCATTGTCTCGCGATCCACGCGCACCAGGACGGCAATGCTTCTTTCCCAAACCCGGGGGCGTATGCCCTCCGCTCTCCGGAGCATCGCCAAGCGCTCTTTGCTGAACAGGTATGAATAACGGCCTAGAACATGAGCTTCATGCTCCAAATTGCTTCAGAATACGGGCTGATTTTAGTTTTACTCATCCAGTCGCCCTCTGTCTACCACTCTGCCCAAGCAACAGAACGGCAACGATGACGAGTATACTGGTCTCAACAAGGTCTCCCGCCACATTACCCAGCCCATCTCCCAGGGTGCTTCCCAGGCCATGCTGTATGCCGCAGGCCTCACTGAGGCGGACATGAACAAGGCTCAGGTCGGCATTTCTTCTGTCTGGTACAATGGCAACCCCTGCAACATGCATCTGCTCGATCTTAACAACCGTGTCCGCGAGGGTGTCCAGAAGGCCGGTTTGGTCGGTTTCCAGTTCAACACCGTCGGTGTTAGCGATGCTATCAGTATGGGTACCAAGGGAATGCGATTCTCTCTCCAGAGTCGTGATCTGATTGCCGACTCTATCGAGACCGTTATGGGTGGTCAATGGTATGACGCTAACATCAGCATTCCCGGCTGTGACAAGAACATGCCTGGTGTGTTGATGGCAATGGGACGAGTGAACCGCCCCAGTTTGATGGTCTACGGTGGAACCATCAAGCCTGGTTGCGCCTCCATGCAGGGCAACGCCGACATTGATATCGTCTCCGCCTTCCAGGCCTATGGTCAGTTCATCAGTAAGGAAATCACCGAGCCCCAGAGATTTGACATTATCCGCAACGCCTGCCCTGGAGGTGGTGCTTGCGGTGGTATGTACACTGCCAATACCATGGCCACTGCTATCGAAGTCATGGGCATGACCCTTCCTGGATCCTCTTCCAACCCCGCCGAGTCTGACGCTAAGTACCTTGAATGTCTTGCGGCTGGTGAGGCCATCAAGACCCTGCTCAAGGAGGACATTCGTCCTTCGGACATCCTGACTCGCCAAGCTTTCGAGAACGCCATGGTCTTGGTCAACATCACTGGTGGCTCCACCAACGCCGTTCTTCACTTGATTGCCATTGCGGACTCTGTTGGTATCAAGCTCGACATTGAAGACTTCCAGTCCGTCTCGGATCGCATTCCTTTCCTGGCGGACCTTAAGCCTTCCGGCAAGTACGTCATGGCTGACCTTCACAAGATCGGTGGTACCCCCTCCCTGCTCAAGTTCTTGCTGAAGGAAGGTCTCATCGATGGCTCTGGCATGACTGTCACTGGTCAGACCCTGGCCAAGAACTTGGAGAATGTGCCGGACTTCCCTGAGGATCAGAAGATCATCCGTCCCCTGTCCAACCCCATCAAGGAGACTGGCCACATCCAGATCTTGAGGGGTTCTCTGGCCCCGGGTGGCAGTGTCGGCAAGATCACTGGTAAGGAAGGAACCGTCTTCACTGGAAAGGCTCGCGTCTTTGACGACGAGGATGATTTCATTGCTGCTCTCGAGCGCAACGAGATCAAGAAGGAGGAGAAGACTGTTGTTGTCATCCGCTACACTGGTCCTAAGGGAGGACCTGGCATGCCCGGTAAGTCGCTACAGCAAAACTTTCCCCTATCACTGCGCACGTGTGTCGGTAAAGCTAATTAAAGTGTGACGAGTAGAAATGCTGAAGCCCTCTTCCGCCCTGATGGGTGCCGGTCTCGGACAGTCCTGCGCTCTGATCACCGATGGCCGTTTCTCTGGTGGTTCTCACGGTTTCTTGATCGGACACATTGTTCCCGAAGCCGCCGTCGGTGGCCCCATTGGCTTGGTTAAGGATGGTGATGTCATCACCATTGACGCCGAGAAGCGTGTTCTGGACCTTGATGTTGAGGAGACCGAGCTCGCGCAAAGAAGAAAGCAGTGGGAAGCCGACAGGGCTGCTGGCAAGCTCCCTCCCACCGGCCTGACCCTGAGAGGTACTCTCGGCAAGTACGCTAGGTACGTAATACTCTTCTAATTGGCATAGCATCTGTCAATAAGATGCATATCCGTGACCCATATCTGAACATGATACTAACATCACACTATAGAACCGTCAAGGATGCCAGCCACGGCTGTATCACCGACTCTCTCGAATAAACGGAATGGCATATGTGATTATATGTCCTTCTTTGCGTTTATATATCTCTTCGAAAGTAACATGTGTCTTATATCAATTTCTTTTTCCTTTTCAGCTACTCTATCTGGGATGATTTTGGGTCGTTTTGAGTCTGGGACCGCACGTGGCTACTGTTTTGTATAGGCGAATTGAAACGAACCAAAAGTGCTGCTTGTTATGACCTCACTATATGGTCTCGTGTATTTACTGAAGATCAAATACAGCAAATAATATTGTTAAGAAAATATGTACTCTTCATGAACGGCGAGAGAGGGCATTTACTCCGCACCCCATATCCGTTCCATGGATCGTATCGGGATGCACGTGGGCCGTGTATCACATGACTGTCGCTTAGTGTTTGCAAAGTTTGTAAATTTTTCTTATCGGGGTCTACTTTCTATCGAGGGGCGTCGCGTTTCTTCTCGGCTCAAACCCAACCTCGTCGGACTCACATCTTTCCAGGCCCAATTCGGAGTCTATCATAATCATGGCACCTGCTCCGATCGCATCTTCGAGCGACGATATCGCGACTGTTCTCCAACTAGTTACGCCCCCTCAGATTGCCCCGCACCGCTCCCACGACCCCTCCAACAATCAAAAGCGGAGTGATCCCTTCCAGTTCGGCTCCCGCTACCTGGAAGAAGGAGACGATGTCTTCGAGTTCAACGCCTGGGACCATGTAGAGCCCGACGACGAGTTTAAAGCCTTTGCAGAAGTCCAATATTCTAAGCAGCGCGAAACCCCGGTTTCCGATTTCGACAGAAACCGTTTCAATGCCGATCCTGCCAAATGGTGGAACCTTTTCTACAAGAACAACACATCCAACTTTTTCAAGAACCGAAAGTGGCTCCGCCAGGAGTTCCCTGTCCTTGCGGATGTGACTCAGCCTACTGCAGGAAAGAAGGTGGTGCTGGAGGTCGGTGCAGGTGCCGGAAATACCGCCTTCCCATTGCTGGAGAACAATGAGAACGAGGAGCTCATGGTTCATGCTTGTGATTTCTCCAAGACCGCTGTCAAAGTCATGCGCGAAAGCCCACACTACAACCCCAAGCATATCACAGCTGACGTGTGGGATGTCACGGCGGAGCCGGATGAGAACAGCAATGGACTTCCCCCGGGCCTTACTGAGGAGTCGGTCGATGTCGTCGTTCTCATCTTTATCTTCTCTGCCTTGGCTCCGGAGCAGTGGAACCAGGCTCTTCGCAATGTGTACCGCGTCTTGAAACCCGGCGGACATGTCTTGTTCCGCGATTACGGAAGGGGCGACCTGGCACAGGTTCGATTCAAGAAGAATCGGTACATGGGCGAGAACTTCTACGTTCGTGGTGATGGAACACGGGTGTACTTTTTTGATCGTGATGAGCTGGAGAAGATGTGGGGCCAATGGACTCCGGAGAAGGGCCTGCCCACGGCACCTGCGACAGGAGAGGAAACCGAGGTCGAGGAGGAACAGAACCCTACCGACACCAAGGGTGTCTTTGACATCGAGAAGCTAGGTGTCGATTACCGGTTGATCGTTAACCGCCAGCGCAAGTTGAAGATGTACCGCTGCTGGATTCAAGGCCATTTCCTCAAGCGTGATACTACTGCCGCCGTCGATATTTCGAAGATCGAATCGTGATGTTCTTTTGGCTCTTCCGGAATAACCTAGTACATGGCTCTGGGGCCCGGTGGAAGTCGCAGGACGATCACTCATAGTGGCGTCGGCGTCGAACAAGCGACTGTTGTCCAATCCACATGCAAACAGCCAGCTTCCTTTCCATGCCACATAACTATTACATGAAGACTCGGGGGGCTTTTCTTTCGTTCGGACGAAGCTTCAGACTCATTCGACGCTCGAATGTACTCTCACAGATCACATGGAACGGACAAGGCTTAGGGCAGTTGGTCACGCGCACAGCCAGTTCGTTGCGGCATTTTGCCAATATCGCAATCGACTTTTGGTGAAATAGTACACAGTCATTTGGCGCAAGCGCTCTCATATTCGCAATGAACGCATGAGTGAGTTTCTGATCCTCGAGGGAGGATCTGATGATACCCATGACGATAGATAGAGACTAGACTAGATCACATTTGGTTGCATTCTTGCATTCTTAGGGCAAAATTTCCCCTGGATCATCAATCCAATCCATCGCATTAATTTCCCGGGTTCATTCATTGGGCGGATCTTGGGAACCTTGTTCTGCCCTAAGTATCACAACCTCAAGTAAAATGACCCTATCGACATTCCCGACGGCTCATCGTACGTAAGTGAGGTTTATGCTTGTCTCCTCATAGTCCGAAGAAACAGATTCAGGGGGGTATCTCAAGATAATCTCCGTGAATAGAACCCGTAAGACGATGTCTAACCCAACGTGACCCATGCATACTCCGGCATGAGCAGGAACCGCAGGTTGAAATTACCTTGCTTCCGACCAAGGGACATTTGGCCATACCCAGGAACTCAGGACAAACAGGGATCAAACAAACTTCGAGCGGATGTTTTCAGCGACCACGCGGACATGCCACAGAACCGGAAGGGGTCTTGTGTCGATTGGTATGTGAGATTCCTCATTCCTGCACTCGTCACCCTCCCATTTGCAACAAGGCCACAGACAGCTACCGCCGAACCATGTTTCAAGTCAGCTCGGTCTTAATTTGCCTTCATGGCTAACGAAGGATTCATTTGTTTTTGTCTGACAATGATATAAAGTACTCGGTCATGTTATATGCTTCAACAGCGCCCCTATGGCAGGTGATACGGTCTGCTGAAGTCCCCAGCCTAGCCCAAACGCCAGCATCAGCCTCAGCAGTCGTTGATCCTGCCCTATTCCGTCGCTCATTCGCCTTGCCTATTGCATCGGAGGGCCCTGTTGGAGTCTTGCACCTATCAGGGAAAACGTGCGCACTGCACCCACTCGTTCCGGCTGGGGTCTAGAAATCTGGACGGTCCCAGGCAGATCGGTGCCTGGGCAAAACCTTGATAAAAATAGCTTGTTCGATCTTGAGTTAGACAGCCAATTGTATACTCACTAGAGACACTTGATGATTCAGTCTGTGACGTACGTGCACCTCCACACTCCGTCGATGGATTATGTGTCCCCGTGGGCACGCGGAGATCGGGGACATCAGTCGAGAAACTTGCCTAATCTAGTGACAAGCAGAAAAGTCAAAGTCATCCGCATGCGACTTGCAGATCATCTAGAGGGATATAATAAAGTCGTGCGTTTATGACCTTGCAGGAAACGACCCGCCTCCTCCTGCCTCTTTATTATCGATACCCTCTGCCACTAGCGTCGTACATCACACTTCACAATCCATTCTCCTCTCATTCATCATGAAGTTCACAAATTATCTCTTGACGACTGCAACGCTCGCAAGCAGTGTCCTAGCGGCTCCTGCTCCCCGCACCGGTTTGGAGGACAGACTCCGTGCCCGGTCATTGCAGCGTCAATCACATCCTCTGGCACCTATTCCACTTGACACATCCACCAAAGAGAATTCCAGACTCCTCGAAGCCGACGAGAATACCACCCATGTTACATACAGCAGTAACTGGGCGGGCGCAGTGCGCGAGCAACCACCTCCGCAAGGCACGTATTCTGCCGTGTCGGCAACCTTTCGTGTACCAGAACCCACGGCGCAAGGGGGGAGCGGAACGCAGGCTGGGTCGGCCTGGGTCGGGATAGATGGCGACACATACAGCAACGCCATTCTACAGACAGGAGTCGACTTCTACGTGGAAAACGGGCAGACGTACAACGATGCCTGGTATGAGTGGTACCCAGACTATGCATATGACTTCGACCTAGATGTAAGCACAGGGGACACGATCGTCGCCAAGGTGGAAGCCATCTCGCCAAGTCAAGGTGTAGCCACTATTGAGAACATATCGACGGGGAAGAAGGCCACGCAGACGATCAGAGCCCCAGCTGCGACAGCTACCCTTGCCGGCCAGAATGCCGACTGGATCGTGGAGGATTTCCAGTCTGGCGACTCAATGGTCGATCTGGCTGGCTTTGGCGAGATCAGCTTCTGGGGCGTGCAAGCACAAGGAGGAGGGTCTACATGGGGTGTAGATGATGCGACTATTGTCGAACTGAAGCAGGGCAACGAAGTGTTGACAGACGTGGAGGTGCAAAGTGATTCGGCCTTTACGGTGAAATATACGAGCTGATGTGATGGTATATGGTCGCATATTCTCATCCTTCGACTAATCTTTCTCCTTTTGGACGGTGACATAATTTTTCTGGTTGATTTTGAAAATGCCTTGATGTATTTCGGTAGTAGTTTTAAGGTTGATACTTCCAGCATGCGGGCTCGGCTATTGGGAGGAACCAAGAAGGCTATATGGCCCTCGGGTATTCGCCGCATTCTAAGGTCGCATGCCTTCTCGGCTTTCCTTATATATATCTACTTTCCATTTCCCCAACCTCATTCTTGATGCGAGAATCTACCCACACATACAGTTAATCATGTCCCGTATATACCAACTAAGCCGAGCATTTCAGCGCAGCCAAGTTGGCGCGCTCCGGCCGCGCTCTCTACTACCCGCTCGGTCATCCCGCTGCGGCTTCAGCACCAGCGCCACACGCCCATTAATGGAATTAACAGGCTTCACCGAAGAGCAACTAACAGTGCGCGACGCCGTATCCGCCATCTGCGCCAAGTTCCCCAACACATACTGGCAGGATTGCGACCAAAATGAGCGCGACCCGAATGAGTTCCACGCCGCCCTAGCCCGAGACGGATGGTTAGGAATCGCGCTGCCTGAGGAACTAGGAGGCGCAGGTCTAGGTACACCCAAATCTTCCTATTCTATCATCCTTCATTGCAATTGCAACTAATACCACGTCCAGGAATCTCCGAAGCAACAATGATGATGCAAACCATCACCCAATCCGGTGCCGGCATGGCCGGCGCGCAAGCCATCCACGCCAACGTGTACGCAACACAACCACTCGCCCGCTTCGGCACCCGCGAGCAACTGGAAGAAACCATCCCCAAGATCATCAATGGTACATGGCGCACCTGCTTTGGTGTCACAGAGCCCAACACGGGTCTGGAAACGCTCAAGCTGAAGACGCTAGCTACCAAAAAGTCCCGCGGGGATAGTGATATCTACTCCATCTCAGGCCAGAAGATCTGGATTACCTGCGCGCAAGTCGCTAGCAAAATGATCCTGTTAGCGCGCACGACCCCCTTGGAAGAAGTTACCAAGTCGACACAAGGCCTATCTATGTTCTGCATCGACCTCGACCGCACACAGCCCGGTCTGGATATGCGCAAGATCAAGAAGATGGGCGGACGTGCCGTCGACGCCAACGAAGTCTTCTTCGATGGGTACGAAGTGCCCGCGAACACGCTCATCGGGCAGGAAAACGAAGGGTTCCGGATCATTCTGCATGGTATGAACGCGGAGCGGTGTTTGCTGGCGGGTGAGGCATTGGGGCTGGGGTATGCGGCGCTGGAGCGAGCAGCTGATTATGCGAAGGAGAGGGTGGTGTTTGGACGGCCGATTGGGCAGAATCAGGGCATTGCGCATCCGTTGGCGGATGCGTATATGAGGTTGGAGGCGGCCAAGCTGGCGACGTATCATGCTGCGAGATTGTATGATGCGTCGAAGAAGGATGAGGGGATTCCGCTGCATTCCGTCGGGGTGGCGTGTAACAGTGCCAAGTATTTGGCTGCTGAGGCGGCGTTTACGGCGTGTGAGAGGGCGGTGCTGAGCCATGGGGGCATGGGGTATGCAATGGAATATGATGTGGAGAGGTACTTGAGGGAGTGTCTGGTGCCCAGGATCGCGCCGGTCAGTCGCGAGATGATTTTGAATTATGTTAGTGAGAAGGTGTTGCAGTTGCCGAGGAGTTATTAAATGGCTGTTTACAATCATCAGGCAAGCGGTTATTATAGGAATTGGAAATCATTCTCATAAGAGAGAATATGTAAAATGCAGACCCGGCGGACTACATGCTAGACGCATAAGCTGTTGAACATTGTATCTACTATCACACGCTAACTAACATAGTAAGGGCGATCCAGACCATCAAGATCTATATTCCTTCTCTGCCTGAGCGATGTGTAACTCATATCCTTGACATGCTAGCGTCTTCTATCCACAACCTTCATGACTTTGTTCCCCGTACCGCTCTTTTCAAACCCATCGATATATTCAACCAACGTCAATTCAAACAAATGCCGGTTATCAGGCAGAACAAAGAAGAAATTTCACCACTTCATAAACAAATTGCTTATGGGAGACCAAGTTCTTACTCGCTGCGGCACGAAGCATCCTAACCTCCAGGGTTGTCTCTGAAGATTCAAGGGTTCGACAATGATCTGCCACTGCAGAATCCCAAAAGTCTCCTTCTGCATGAACTTCTTAATATTCGTAGATTCATAAGACTCACCATACCAGTTCAAGCTAAATCAACAGTCGCGACCCCTGAGTCGAAGAACGCGTAAGTACATTACTCTGCAAAAGAGAACACGTTTTGGCACCTCGGAACTTACAGGTCTTTCTTGGTGGTCAGAGGCCACGACTCAAGGGTGTTAGTAGATTCTGTACTAGATCGTACCTTCACAGCAGCCTGGATCTCTTTAGGACCGGGTGGGTAGATTATATCGGGACCAAGGAGATAATCAGAAAGAAAGAAGTTCGAGTTGTTTAGGATTTAAAAAAAACAAAAAAATGGGTCTGTTATGCCCTCGCGTTGCGGCCAGATATGGGCATAGACAACGCCGTTCAGATCTGTATGCTACTACTTGGTCTGCTAATCGCGACAAGTCATCTTTTGCCTCCATGAGATGCTCTGCCCAGCTCGGAGCTAAATGGATTCTATAAAACTCGATGTGGACTAGACGCCTAATAATGGCGTTTCGCATCGAGTGATTTGCGTAGTTCTGCCTGATTTCCTTTAAAGCTCAGAATGGGTAAACAAGTACTTCCCAGGGCTTCCTGCATACACTGTAAGAGCGTAGCACGCAAGATTGGGCTTACGAGATTCAGGTACGGGGTTGCGTTACGTTGCGAAGCGGGGATTCGTATCTTCTTCAGTTGATTTGGATACTACCAAAGCATTATGAAATGAAATGCTTACTATAGTAGTCTAAATGCCTTACTCCCTCGGCCTCAGCGCGAAAGTGAACTGCTTCGAAGTAGGCGACAACCTCCAGCGTGCAAAGAGCTGCGCATTTTCCACCAGAATCCGCCGCAGCATCTTCCCTCTCTCCTCTACACCAGGCCACATGCCCTGCCATTCGCGTACATACGGTTCCATGGTTTCTAAGGCCTCCCTGGTCCACTTCCCTGCCCTCTCGTTGACAATTCTCCCCTTCTGCACCATCCGCCTCTTCATCTCATCCAGGAACCGCTCCTTCTCCTGCTTGTCCTTCACCGCAGCCTGCATGACCGCTAGTAGTATATGTGACCGGATTGACAAGTCCAACTCATCCATGTCGATTCCTTGGAGTCCTAATCCAACTGTCTCCTCCACCGCAACAGCGGCTAGGAAATCTACCTCCTCCTCACTCCCGACCTCTTCTTCCCACCCCCTCCACCACGCCTGCCCTTCAATTCCTCCATCCGGCCACCCATACCATATCACCTGCTCCGGCTGGCTATCTCCCTCGATTATCTCTCCTCCCGCTATCCGTGTGAGGTACTCTGCTTCTAACCTGTGTATATCATACTTTCCCTGCGCGACCAATATCCCAAAGCTGTGGGGCCTCCATGCTTGCCAAGGAGTCACCTCAGCCACGCGAGATGGAGATGGATCAGGAGTAAAATAGTCAAGCCAGAAGCGCGGATGTGCTTCGGAATAGGGTGGTGCGCTGGGGTATGCCGTGTGCAGGCGTGTCATAGTTGCCTCCAGCGTGCTGAGGGCTAGTGCAGTAAGAGTCTCAGATGGAAGAAAGGGCTGCCTACGACGTGTGCACCCGACAGTGTAGGCCCAACGGGGGATTTTCAGGATGTGTAGGGATGCCGGACTATGGCGCGGCTGGCATAGTGGGGAGGAGGAGTCAGGCAGGTCCTGGAGGTTGGGCAGGCGGTAGAAGCATGCTGTGGTACGCTGGGTGAGGAAGGGGTAAGAGTAGTAGGAGCGCCAGGCGGAGGAGTGCAGGAAGGCGTGGTAGGCTATGTAGAAGGCCGGGAAATCAGAGAAGGAGGGGAAATCATCTTTCAGTTGGGAGATATAGCGGTAGATGGCGGCTGCTAGTTGTGCGAGGTAGAATATATCCAGAGAACTGTTATTTATTACTATTGAGGCAGTGCCTCTCGGGGGTGGTCATAGTATGAAATAGTAGGCTTACCGATTAAAGCGTAAAACGCCCTCACCAAAGGACAAGCCATGCGAGTGCAGCTTGTCTACAACATCAAACACCCCATTCCCGGTCCACAGGCCCTCGTCCAGATAGATGAATGCGATCCGCAAGACATCCTCATGGCAGGTCACTGGCACGACGCCGCCTTCAACATTGGCCAACAATTCTTCCGCGCTCATTGTAACGTCAATGGCACGTGCGTCAATGAGACAATTAGTGTTAATTGGGGAAGAGGATGTGATTTCCAGATCTTGAGTCAGGATGGGGAAGTGCTCCGCGTGCTCAGATCCAACGTCCTTCAAGGGCGGGGAAGCCAAGCAAGGCACTTACTAGTAACTTGTCTATCGGTCTTTGAACATTAGTCCACCAAATAGACTGTAAAATCTGCCTTTGCATCACTAGGCCTTGTCTATTGAGAAAAGGTGCTCAAATGCTACAGTGGGTGGCGGGCATTGGGCGAAGGAGTTACTGCTACTGAACTATGCTGCTAGCATTTGGTGAAGGTGCGAGAAGGTCTCGCATCCCAACGGACAGCAGGGGAACTGAGTTTGCCAACATCCATTCCGGATAGAACACCACCGCGACATCGGTCTTCGCGCAGAACCTGCAAGGCAAAATATCGAGGAGGGGCTTCTTCGTAGCTGCAGTCCCTATGTCGAGGGAACTCCTCGATAGGGTCTGAAATGTCGTGTTGTTGGCTGAATGTCCCAGAACCAGCCGCGGGATGCACTGTGGGCGGGGGGACATAGCATACACGAAGGAGGTCTTCCTCTGCAGGTTTCAGAGGCATACGTTCTGGGAATCGTGATACCGAGTTCGTCCACCACCTCTCGACAATGTCTGTTATAGCAGACACTAAAGCATTGTTAAGTTCTTTCCACTGACGCTGATGCCCAGAGGAGACGAGAACTGGCCGAGAAATTAAGACCGAGCCTGAGTTAATATGCCCATGGCCTATAAGCTCTCCTGGATTGCTTCCTGGTCTTTGCCGTATGTCGCATTTCGAGAGTCGAAAGAAGTCATGGGCTCCGGATTTCCAATTACCGGTCTCATACCACTGGTGCCTGACTAAAGGAAACAGCATAACCATTGGACCTCTCATTGAGGCCCTACGAACTATACTACTAGGATCGAGAGTAAAGGACTTAGAGATTCAAGATACAGCTAGTCGTAGTACAATGTCATAATCCTCCGCATACTAGTTACCGGGATCAGGGTTGGATCACAGTAGCACAGAATACAGGAAGCAACAATTGCTACTAACAAAACAAGGAGTATACACCCGAATAAGCACATTACTGTATGGATCTGAATGATAGAATGAAAAAAATAAATGCGTATCTTTCCAATAATATGTACTCCGGAAGGATTATCGCGGACTTGCTGGTCGTAGTTTCGACGGCTTCAAGGTTCCCTCCCACCTATTGTTTCCGCATGCCGAAATGCAACGTCCTAAAGCTGACACAGCTTCCGACGGCCAGCACGCATATCGACTGAGGAGCATGGAAGTAAATTTGATTGCATGCAGAGTCTAGTAGTATACTGCCATGTATGCATGTTCCAGGGCATAGATTCAGAAGTGGAAACTCCAGGCCTCCGTTAAACTGAAGCAATTATATGTACAGCGCCCGCGAACTAACTACGCATGCAATCTATGTCAACTGCTGGTTCCCGTCTGGACCGAATCTCCAGAGACTCTACCGTCCTGTCTCTCCGATCCAAGAATCTCCGCAGGTGGGTCGTTGGAGCTTTTCTGAGAATGTAACACTTGCTTATAAACCGGCTGTTCTTCCTCCTTCAAACCACACCCAGACGGGTCCCTTCGGATAAGAAAGTGTTGAACCCTTGCATCTACCGATTGCATCTGATGCTGAGTATTCTCCCTACGCCCTTTCAGAAGGCGGGATGACTCTTCGTTCAGCTCCCAAAGTCGGTCTTCGTAACCGCTGCTGAGTTTGCTAATCCAAGATGCCTGCAGCGCTCCGCCCATTAATGTCAGAAGAATGACGAATGTCGCAAAGGTCCGATGGTCCACCAAAGTTTGCTGCTTTCCCTGGTGGCGATTATTCCACCTTTCCCAGTCTTCCCAGGTCGCGTTCGCGTATATCGGACCGTAGTTACTGGAGCCTGTTCTAGCCCAGGATGGGATCGGCGTCTCATAAGGATGGAGATTCCACCCCGCACCACTGAAGTCGTAGGCGGCTCGTCTACTTGGATCCGATAAGATTTCATGGGCAGCCACTAGAATGTGGTATCGCTGGAGCCTCACTTCGGGCGTGAGGTCTCTGCATAGTGGATGTCCGCTACATGGGCGATCTGGGTGGTAGATTTTGACCATTTCATAATATCGGGCCTTGGAATAGGGTGCGGTCCGATCCTGTTTAAACAGCTCGTAGGGTGTGAATGTGGGAGACGACGGCCATGAAAGATCCGTCTCAGGGTTGTGAGAAGCGGTGGCATAGCGCCTGGCGGAATAGCGAGACTGTGAGGGGAAAGAACGATACCGAGGTGGCGAGGACAGACATGGGGAGTTCAGTAACTGCAGTCCACCCCCACAGCAAAGGATGTTGGGTTTCTTGAACATGGCCGCATGGTTTCACATGGAGAGATATGTAAGACCTCTCCGGAATGTCTTAGACCGATGGCAAAGTAAAAAGTGCCGGGGTTTGAACGGGATTGTTCTAGTCGTCGATACAAATGCTCCCGCTAATTCCGAAGTTCGGATCTCCACATGAGGTCATCACGTGCGGATCTCCAGAGCTCCAAAGCTTCCCGCATGAAAACTACTTTTCATCCCCGTCGACGCTGGGTATATTTGTTGTATAGAAAATGCCAGATTCACGCGACGATTACAGCCGGAGACGGCACCGATCCCCCTCCGGCTCTCCGGCTCCAGACCGCGATCAACGCCAGCGACGCCGTGACGAGGACCGTGGCAGCGATTCCGGGCATCGCGAATCTCATCAAAGCTCCCGAAGAGATAGCTCGCGACGACGGTCATCCCGCAGCCCGGCCGACCGACGAAGCCACAGAAGAGATTACGACAGTCGCCGTAGTGAGCGCAGGGATAAGGAGGATGTCTCAGAGGATGACCGGAGAAGACGCCGACATACTTCCGATCGAGAGTCTTCATACCGTCGTCACCGTGACCGAGATTCGTACGACAGAAAGGAGAAGTCTTCTCGCAGACGACGTGATTACTCGCGATCCCGCTCGCCTACAAGGCGCTCGCCGGGCCCGGACTCGCGCGCGCCAGTACGATCAAAAGCGCCCCTACCTCCGCAGCAGGATGCATATACCTCGTCTGAAGTAGCACGGACTGGAGAGTCGGAAGGCCCTCCTCCGGAGAAGGAGAAGCCCAATTTCGCCCAAACTGGGCGATTGGCTGCAGAGAGCAAGACTGTGAATGTAAATGGTAGCTCTGTCGTTCTCAAATACCACGAGCCCCCGGAAGCGCGCAAACCCCCAGCAAAGGAACCGTGGCGATTCTACGTGTTCAAAGGGCAGGACCTTCTTGAAATGGTGGAATTGGGTATACGCAGTTGTTGGTTGATTGGGAAAGAGCAATTGGTTGTGGATTTTCCTCTAGAGCATCCGAGTTGCTCTAAGCAGCATGCCGCGCTGCAGTTTCGCTTTGTCGAGAAGAGGAATGAATTCGGAGATCGAATCGGACGTGTCAAGCCTTATCTGATCGATCTGGAAAGCGCCAATGGCACTACGGTGAACGGAGACGCGATTCCCGCTGGACGGTACGTGGAGCTGCGGGACAAGGATGTGGTCCAGTTTGGCCTCAGCTCCCGCGAATACGTCCTTATGCTACCTCCGCCTGAATAGGCTTGATATCTTACTGACATTACTCCGCATTGATCTTTCAATGCGATGGGTGCCTTGGAGAATCATCCAATCTTCCACATTGTCTTCAAGTCTCATTTTCGGAAACATAACTCGTGGATATAAATCCCGTTCGGTACTTCGTTCGGCATGCTTGTCAAAGCCCCTGACAGTTCGTGCCATCCAATTTCCCATGTTTTTCAAAACATATGATGAAACTCCGAGCTGTTCACGAAAGCAGGCTTGCTCACCTTAACGAGTGATTCGTGTGGAGGTGCTTGAGATAACACGTTCGGCACATGTGTTGCCGTGGATACTCTTATTTCATCCTCCAATGCATTCGCTCCATCCACCAACACAAAACCTCTTCTTATGCTCAGCTGAATGATGAACCAACGGGTCATTATTCGGGGAGCAGGCCAACTGCTACGCAGGCGTCAAATATACTCCCGGCGCGCTTGCTCATCGAAGGCTGGCATTGCGATAGGCTTCAATGAATACCTGTGTAACGATGCCTTTTAGTCTGAAGTTCTCATGTGTAAATATTTACTGAGGCAGCATCGAATAACCTTGGGAAGGGACATGCTCAGGAGTCAGGGAGACGTAGACAGCCGAGTCAAACAAAGAGAGGATTTGGAGGATTTGCAAATGCCTCCTGACAAGCAAGGATATTCCGCACTTACTAGGAGTTACTACTGGCTAGTATCAGTATAAATCAGGTCATATTACGCATGAACTCATAGATAGTATCTATTGAGCTAGTAATAGTAGATATTACTAGTCATTGTAGTGGTAGAGGTTAAGACCATTGGCCACTGGAGTACAAGTAGTAGTAGTGGCCAATTTATATAACCATCGTGACACTGCTTTTCATCTTTAACTCAACTGGTATACCATGTGACATCACTTAAGAAAGAAACATTCCTCATTGGATTCATAATGGACTCTTAATAGCAGCGATTAAAATTCAGGGGCAACCGATCCCTATACAAATGTCGCTGGACCATGTATTCACTCGCTCTTCTCCGCATACTTCCCTACCGGCCGGGCTAGACCACACCCGGTTAGGCTGACAGGCAGCAGGCGGTCACCGTTCTGCCGGATGATCATCGTGCCTCATTATCAATCTGATCACCCACACACACTCCGCTTGCTTGTCATCCCCAAGTCTGGCTGGTCTGTTGATTCTCACTGATTTCTCGGCTCAGTTAGAGGCCAGTTTGTGATTCAAACAAGCTCATAATGGCTGTCAACGGATCTGTTGAGACCCAGTGGCTTGCCCAACTGGCAGCCATGCGCCAGGCTATTGCGGACTTGAAGCTCCCTCAAGACCCCGCCAAAGATACAAGCTACGGAAGCGACCTGGATTTGGATTTCGACGAAGACTACTCATCGCCCGGAACTGCCGATGACGATATCTGGGACATTATCAGCTCCGACGAAGAGGCCAGCGACGATTTCGATGACTATGACGAGCTCCCCTCTCCTCCGACATCATCCGCCTACGACCAGCTCTGGCTCGAGCAGAAGTGCATGAGCCTTGCTGCTAACAAGCCGGGTATGGATGCCGGAGAACTAGCACAGCAAATCACTGCTGCCCTAGCGACGGACAGCGGAGACGACGAGCTGCAGATGTCCCTGGCCGAAATCGTGGGATTCGATGACCTCGACTTCGTGATTGACTTGATTGCTCACAGGGCGGATATTGTCGCGAGCTCGCATACCGGCCCAGAGGCCCAGACAGATGGTTTGATGGCTGGAAAACTCATGACGAGAGCGGAAAGAGAGCAAGCTTTGCGACAGGCGGATTACGAACACAAGCATGCGTCGTTGATGCCGGCTCAAACAAGATCGGAACCGCATTACCCCCATGTATTCAAATTGCACGAGTCCAGAAATGTCCTTGCATTGGGAGGAAAGAGATATGGACTGCCAATGGGCAGTAAGCAAATCGATGAGAAGAAGTATACCGAGGTTGAGGTTCCCGCGTCCAAGGTCGGTACCCTGAGACCCGGGCATAAACTCGTGGAGATCGCCTCGTTGGATGGATTGTGTCAAGGGACCTTCAAGGGATACAAGACCCTCAATCGCATGCAGAGTCTACTATATGAAGTAGCATACAAAACAAATGAGAACATGCTGATCTGTGCCCCGACTGGTGCTGGTAAGACGGATGCTGCTATGCTCACAATCCTAAACGCCATTGGAAAGAACACTGTCCCAAATCCCATCGAAGAACCACAAGCCACCGAGTTTGCGGTGCAGGTGGAA